GTTGATCTTTTACTTTTGGAGAAAATGTTGCCGCCGGTGAGTGTGCTTATAAACACATTTTTATGCGAACAACTTCGGACGAAGAGAGAAAGAAAGATTGATACTATCCATTTTTTTTAACTAATCGTTCTTGGCCTATCTGTTAGCATGTGCAGTTTAAGCGCACAATCTATTGTTTATGTATATAAAGACAGAACAGAAAAGAAAGTTTATTAACTAGTACACTATTGGACGAAAGAGGATTTGTTCAAATCAAAATAGATGCCTTATAGGAACGCATGAATATTACAAAAAGTAGAGAGCTATTGAATAGAATATAGAGTTTTAGTTTGAAAAACTAAACTTTTGACAGGTTGACCAAATTGTTGTCTCCACATGAGCTATTTGTAGGGCTCGATGTGTTCTATGTTCATTGAAATGAATTGTTGCGCTTGATAAAATGTAAACAGTTCGATAGATCATAAGTCGCATGAATACTACCTGATAAACCATGACCCTTGAATTATTGATAATAAATTTGTAGCATCACGTTGATCGGCAAGCTCTAAAAAGCATTATTTAGTGTTGATGTTAATACTACTGGAGATTCATTGTGTGTTCACAAGACGACTTGACTGATATTTTCTTTTCCCAGAGGAGCTTTCGTCAGTTTCCACCAGAGAGCGAAATCGAATCGAATAAACAAATGATTCGATTCGATTCGCCTGAGCCGAATTGAATAAATTTTTTGGTGTTGAATATTCGTCTGAGAGTGTCATCTTTTTTTTCTCTCATAAACATTATGGACGAGTACATTTGAGTTGATTTGAAGAATAACCGTTAACAAAGAACACATTAGCTTTTCTTCGTTTCTTTCCTTTTTGTTATATCGATAGAGAGAACGTTTCTCTATCGAATTGTGTTTTTATTTTTTCCCAAGAGGTCTTTATAACGAGAAATAATCGACACCAACTGTCCAATCAAAACAGATAAGCGCTCAATGTTTGATAATGAACCGAGAGTTCTTCAGATCAGTGGCACTCCATACAGTTATTAATGTGATTCATAAGATATACCAAAGAGGTTGGTGCCGCTGTACTGGTAATCTGAATAAATACTGAAGCGGAGATGTACCTCGATTTGTTGATAGATTATTTCAGTCTAAACTACACACTAATAGTAGAAATTGTCTTTGAGAATATCATTACAAATAGTGATGTCCAAGAATGATGATACTTCATTATTTGCTTCATCTTATGCAACANTGATATTGTCGTTTCCCAGAGGAGCTTTCGTCAGTTTCCACCAGAGAGCGAAACCGAATCGAATAAACGAATGATTCGATTCGATTCGCCTGAGCCGAATTGAATAAATTTTTTGGTGTTGAATATTCGTCTGAGAGTGTCATCTTTTTTTTCTCTCATAAACATTATGGACGAGTACATTTGAGTTGATTTGAAGAATAACCGTTAACAAAGAACACATTATCTTTTCTTCGTTTCTTTCCTTTTTGTTATATCGATAGAGAGAACGTTTCTCTATCGAATTGTGTTTTTATTTTTCCCCAAGAGGTCTTCATAACGAGAAATAATCGACACCAACTGCCCAATCAAAACAGATAAGCGCTCAATGTTTGATAATGAACCGAGAGTTCTTCAGATCAGTGGCACTCCATACAGTTATTCATGTGATTCATAAGATATACCAAAGAGGTTGGTGCCGCTGTACTGGTAATCTGAATAAATACTGAAGCGGAGATGTACCTCGATTTGTCGATAGATTATTTCAATCTAAACTACACACTAATAGTAGAAATTGTCTTTGAGAATATCATTACAAATAGTGATGTCCAAGAATGATGATACTTCATTATTTGCTTCATCTTAGTAAGATAAAAACTGGTTTAAATTTTGAACATGACCATAGTGTAATAATGTTTGCTACTATCATATTGATATACTACCTTACCATGTTAGAACGTGGTTCTTTATTTGTAATAATTCGTGTTGATTCGATTATTGCATCTGTTATAACCGATAAATTTGTTTCTATTTATAAAAAAAAATATTGAAATTTCATCGTTTGTGTATTATTTAAATAAACGGAATAAATTCTTTATTTAAGTCAATCATGCTATATCCGAGCAGTTGAATTCGTATGAGATAAAAAAAATATTTCCAGCTATTTCACTCCCCAATATTTTTGATTTATCTAGCTCCATTAACAAAACAGAAGGTTTTGATCTAATGAATTTGAGCAAATCAAAGATATCTTGTAGTTAAACAGGTTGAAAATGTCTTGTGTTCTTATGCAAATTTGACTGTTTTGATTCAAGATAATCAACTCAGATTGGGCATTTATGCCTTGTATATCATATAAATTGTACTAAAATATTGAACTTGCCATAATTTTGTTGAACAATGTGGTGTTTACTGCTATGATGTAAAGACTTGCGAGTTGATGTTCATCGAAACATAATACAAAGGTTTTTGGCTAAAAACTAGCATAAAAAAGGGATAAGATAATAATAGAAATTGTAATGTTTATAAAACATAAAAACAGATGGTATCTGACCTTGCCTTCACTAAAAAACTAATGAGTGTTAAATGTAGAATTAAATCGACATGCGTCTGCATCTATTATTTTCATCTATTAATCAGAATGCAAAACTTGCCATTAAAATGTAATAAAAGTGCATAATTCTAGCACATTTAGCGAAACAAATTATCACCTGTCTTGCCTCAAAAATGCATAAATCAATTTCGAAATTTTTTGACAAGATACCTATTGTTTTAGAGAATATACTTCATCAATGTATCTCTTAAAAGTTATTTTCCCGTCTTTTGTATATTTCAGTCTTTATTTTGAAGTAATTCGTACTGTATTACCTAAATTGTATATCGCTATTAATGTTAATAGCTGAACCTTATCGAGGTACATTCATCATTTGAATTAGTGGATCAAATTTTTTTCGATTAATGTCTTAAAGTTAATTCGTCTCACGAAAGTGCATCAAATATGAATTAAATTTTCGATCAATCAAGTTCATGAATTCGATTTAAAGTTTTCTAGTGTCAATAAGATCTATGAAAAGGTTATTGATCTATTCTATTAATTTCATGCATTAGCTCAATTCAATTGCCTTCCGTTAATCACTCAATGTACTTTCTCAATATATCAATCGTATCTGATTATTAGAGAAGAATATGTATACAATTCAATCGAGTGGGTATCTTAATAAGATAATATGCTCTTCATAAAACTTTGTTTCCATACATTTCAAATAATTGTTCGAAAAAATAATGTTATACATCTGGACATACTAGTCATTGATTTCCAGTTGATGCCTAATGATTGCCGATTATTGTCATTGATTATTTTCGGTTTTTCACTATCAGACAATGGATTCAATTTTTTTCTGATAATATTTTAGATTTTCATCATTAAACAGAATAGCAGTCATCTTTTTGTTAGTGGATTGTTCATAGTCGAAGTACAAGTATTAGCTAGAAATATAATAAAAACTAGTGCCATATTTTCAAAAAAGAGCCATAAAGTGTTCCTAGAACTTTGACTTTAATGAGTCTACACAATGATACAAATAGTCTTCTACTTAAGACAGTTTTATTTTCGTTAAACCAAATACAACAATAAAAATTTCTAAAACTATTTTTTCTCAAACCACTTTGTTGTGATATTGCAGTTTTTCTATATTTCTATGGAAGCCATTCATTTTACAATAGATTCATGTTGAGATAGATGCTTAAACTTTGTATAAAAAGTTTGTCAGCTAAAAGTCCTCAATGAAACTAGTTTATTCTGAACGTTTCATATGGTATCGATACTTCTGCTATTGAAGATTAATGGTAGAAATCGTTTATGTATGAAAACCATGCGAAAAATAAATCAGTCAACGCTTTCAGTCATAAAAGCTTCTTTGGTTTTTCAAATGCACATCTCAGGGTATCACGAAGTTTTACAACTATTTTTTGTATGTCTTGTTGTTGTAAGTGCATTGCCACAGTCAATCAGATCATGATTATTTCTGAACATGAAAATGGACCACAATCGAAGACTGTTCGTAACTGTTTTTATGTATATAGCATTCAGAAAATGATCTGTTTGTTTTTCGATTCTTTTCTGTTGTGTTTGTTTGTTCGTTCGTTCTTTTTTCAAATCACAGCATTTGAAGTAAAATAACAACGTACTTTGTGCTTTTTAGTGCGTGCAATAATATACTCACAAGTAATGCTATTATTTAGTGTTTGTCTCTCACACAAGTCATTCTGCTTGTCTTGTTGCCAGTAACCATTAAAATGGGAGTAGTCTCCGAGTGAAATCAATAAGTGAATAACAACTATTTGAAAGAGCTTTTTGATTGCTTCTTTTTTGTTGCGCTCCACAACAAACGTGGTGTGTTAACTAAGGTAATTTATTCGAAGGATACATTTCTGCTGCATCTGGAGAAATTGAAACTAATAGCATATTTTCTTGATTTGACCATAGTAAAATCGACAGGTTCACAAAAACTTACATATAAGCCATCAATAGAAGTATAGCAACGTATAGGTTTTGAGAACTTATCCACAAAAATACGTTATTCATTGAGAGAAAATCAGAAAATTATTTGTTTTAACGTAATCAATTTTAAGGAAAAAGACTGGAATGAATCGTTTCGAAGTGTCACTATTGGTTTCAGCAAAAACTTCTATCTTCTCATAGGCAGTAAAAAATAGTACGGATATAGATGCAAATGAGTGCCTTAACTTTAACTGCAATCACACTCATATCCACATCCTTTGCACCTTCAGTTATCTAAGTTTAGAAAAGAACTTACAGACTGCCCAGACAATGATGAATAAAAACCAGATGGAATAATGCTGGAAGAAGTGACATTTAATAAGCTTATAGAAAGTGCTTCTGTAACTCCGATGTTTTTCAGAAGGGATACACTTTAAGAGCAGTATACATATGTGCATTTGTTATTGAAATTCTTTTCTTCCAGATAGTCTTTTTTAACTATGATCAATTTTCCAATTCCGCCGAACATTGTACTTCCGGCTAATATTACGTATACATTACCCAATTTCCGACCTGGCGATAATCAGACATTTGATCGTGTGGTTGGTTCTCTGGTTGGTTTGACAATTGGTGATGCCCTTGGAGCAAATGTCAAACATCGTCCTCGACAATATCTTCTAAGCTATCCAGTGCGTGACATGCAATCCGGCGGTACTCAAGGTCTCAAAGCTGGCCAATGGACAGACAACACATCAATGGCACTTTGTCTAGCTTCATCACTACTGACACAACGAAGTTTCAATCCTTATGATCAAATGATACGTTACCTTTGGTGGTACAAATATGGATATCTTTCATCTACAGGTTACTGTTTCAATATAGGTAATGCAACACGAGATGCATTAGAGGACTTTGTCCGACGTCAACATATTCTAAAGAGATACTATCGTATTATGAACGATGCCGAAGTCGATCGTCTTCCATTGGATCATGTAGTTAAAGTAACCGAATTCGATATCAATTGTGGCATGCCAGGTGTAACAACAAATAGTGCTCTTGTCCGTCTCGCTCCTGTACCACTTTTTTTCTATCGACATCCGGAAACCGCCGTGGAACTCTCTGGTCAAAGTGCACGTCTAACTCATGGTGATGTGAGAGCAATCGATGCTTGTCGTTACTTAGGCGCACTGATTGTAGCTGCGATTCGTGGCGAATCGAAGAATTCTCTTCTTAGTAACGACTTTTATCGTGCTCATCAAGCATGGTTTGGATCGAATGGACTTCATGAAGAAGTGCATCGTGTCAGTCTTGGATCGTATAAACAAGTACCAGGCTATGATGGTAGTATTCGAGGCGGAACCTACATTATCAAAGCCTTGGAAGCAGCACTTTGGGCATTTTGGAGCGATGAAAATTCATTTCAAACTGGTGTTCTCAATGCAGTCAGTCTGGGTGACGATACGGATTCAACAGCAGCTATATACGGTCAATTGGCGGGTGCTTACTATGGACGCTCCAGTATTCCTATACATTGGATCAAACAGCTCTATGCTGCACCACTAATTGAGTGCATCGGTCAATGGCTTTACATCGAAGCTCACCAGAGTGCTACTCAAAGTCGACAGCCTATTGGTGCATCAACGAAATTCCAAGCATCGATGCAGATGCAACCATCTATGCCAGGTGCCACTCAACGAGATTTTATTCAAAATGATCAATCTCGTGTGACACAACAGAAAACATTTGATATCTCACGTGCTAGTATCGAGACTTTAGATCCATACCGAGCATGGCGATGTTTGCCCTCGCCTCTAGATATGGCTGCTGGTTTACCAAGTGATTATAATTTACCGAAACCGATGTCTACGACACCGAGAGATTGGCTGACCTTCCCACAAGCACGATTCAAATATACGAATTAACATAACATCATGTTCATGTTGAATTATAGCAAACTTTTGTAAAAACATTTGTTTCTACTTCGAATCATTCGTGAGACATACCTATGCAAAATCTAAGTTTTCATTGAAAATATATGAACATAACTCATCATCCTCAATAAGCCATGTTCTTTTACTGAGAAACCATCAAAGGAATGATACGTTCATTTTTAGAACACAGTTTAACAATGTAGATTTTCCAAAGAAGACTTCTGTTTGTAAACAACCGTGAACAATGCATATTACCTGCCAGAGGTCCGCATTCCAATCATTCTTATTGAAGAGGAAAAAGATTCTTGCATAAACAGAAGAGAGAGAAAAACAACTGGAATGAAATATCTTAGTTAGAACTTGCTCCGAAGATTCATAACTTCATAATGAGGACTATTGCTTGATTTCCTATTCACGACTCATTCATTGCATGCCTCAAAGATTAGTACGGTCAGATTCGTAGCTTTTCAGATCGATTTCAGCTTTGGTTTGATTTTTAGTTAAAATCACGCAGGTTTAGATCTATATTTCGATATGTAAAAGAAGTAAAATTAATAGAAAAAGATATAAGTAACAATGAAAATATTCATATATTATTTGTCTGTCTCCATCGAAGAGAAACAGAACATCAGCAAGCCATTTATATCTATTTGAAAGATAAACAGCTTATGCAATAATCAATTAAATCAAAGCCAACACGCATGAAAATCTAGTGGTGTATCTAGCAGACAGTTGGAGAGGGCGCCCGCTCTTCCACCAGCGAAAAACAAAACTTTATGATTACCAAAAAAACTTTTTATTGTCTTTCTTGACTGTTTAGTAGGCTTAAAAATTCAGTTACGAAATGAAATCATGAGATAAAGTTGTGAAACATCAATGGCGAAGCAATATCTGTTATTTGGAGACTTTACATTTGTTTATGCAGTCGACTTTATGAAAATCTCTTCAAAAACCAAAAGTCAGTAGTTTGGAAATCGATGGCATTTTAAGTCATGGACTATGATGAGTGCTTTCCTTCTACCGAGAGTCTATGTCATGCCACCAACGAAAAGAAAAAGTTAATCGATATCTGGAAATTTTTATCTTTTTCTCGTGTATTCAGTAGTTCTGGAAATTCAGTTAGAGGGTGACACAGAGGAAGAAACAGTAGACTTCAACAGTAAAGGCTTCAATTTTTCCTGATACTGCAAAAGACTTCTACAGATTTCGAGATTACATAAACATTCAATAAACTTAGTAATTTGATGAAACTTCTAGCTGTAGACCATTAAAACTGACATAAAATCTAGGTAAGTTTTTGTTATTTAACACTTAATTCACTTGAAATTAAGTAGTTAAGTGATAGTGCTGAGGCGAATGCCGTTCTGTTTTGATTTCTTCATTAGAAGAAGGGTATTTTTTCGAAAATAATGGTTTTGTAAAAAGTTTTACTAAAGGTTTTTGAGGTTCAAAAATCTGAATCTCTAATCGATTTAATACAATTTGAGATGCTGATTAGATATTCAGATTCGTCGACCTCACAAGCTTTTGACCGAACAAAACAAAAGTTATTTCCGTTAGAAACTCTTCTGGCAGAAAAACCGATTACAAATTCGGATTCTTTAATCTCGAAAATATTGAATCAAATCTTATGAGATATCTTGATTTTTCTCGAAGAGCTATTTCCTGACGAAAAAATCAATCCCACGAATATCAATAATAATATAGTAACGAGAAATATTTCAGTTTAATGTAAAACCTTTTACAATACGAATTTTCGACCTTTTATTTAATTTTGTACGATCATCATCTGCTATATAAGACATTACTTGGAATCTTAACTTTATTTTACATTTATTTTGAAAGACGAACAACAATTGTTAGAGATAGAAAAGAGCAAAAAATGCAACATAAACCTAAGTAACATATATTAGTGGAGATAAACGTAGAATAAGGCATCACTACAATGTCTTAATATGTATATAATATATTCAAGTATATCATTCTTCATATTCACAATGAATAAATGTCAATAGAAAATCTTGAACAATAATCATATACTAGGAGAATCTGGTAGTTGAATATAATCGTTTACAATAGGAATTTTTGGCCTTATTACGGAATTATATACTTGAATATATTATATACATATTAAGACATTTTAGTGGTACCTTATTCTATATTTATCTTCATTGATATATGTTACTTAGGTTTATGTTGTATTTTCCATCTCTAACAATTATTGTTTGTCTTTCAAAATAAAGGTAAAATAAAGTTACGGTTCCAAGTGATATCTTATATAGCTAATGATAACCGTATAAAATTAAATAAAAGGTTGATAATTCGTATTGTAGAAGGTTTTACATTAATCTGCAATGTTTTTCTTTACTATATTATTATTGGCATTATTGTGTAAGTTTCTCTATTGATACGAACTCATGACTTTGTTCATTATCTGTTTCTTGGCAACGTAACGGTAATTTCTTTCCTCTTACTTCGGTGATCAAAATCATTTTAGAATCATTAGAATAACATGAATCACTCGGAATCAATAGAATCATGGTATTAACTTTTTCCCTTCAAGTGTGTGTCAGAAGAGCTAGATTTTTTGTCTACTTTGCTTCTGCTCGGTACCTCTACCGTTAATCTCTCAATTCTATCCTTGCTCAACAGTACTATGACGATCTAAGTATCATCCACTACAACACAGAGAGCAGGCAATAAATTGAAACTTATTAAAACGACTTCACGTACGTTATTTATCGATATTAGACTGAGCGATTAGTCTCCGTTGACTATTCAGAGAGATACTATTGTTGATTATGAAAAGTTAATTTATCAATTAACTCAATTCAACATTAAAACAGTTGAATACTTTTGAAATAACTATTATATGCTTATTCTCATGCTTTGTATCACTCTTTAGGAGCTAGAAAGTTCAGAAACTGAATTTATCTTAAAAATAACTTTAAGCTATTGTGGAATGATTTTTCAGAAATGGCACGTCACTGCCCTCATTCCCACGATTGCCTGAATACGTTACTAGCATATTGGAAGACGTGAAATTAATGAAGTGACTTTAACCTATGTTTGCCATTTAGCTTAATTTTCACGCTTTTAGTGTGAAGTAATATTATTAATAATTTACAAAAGAAAAGCATAATAGAACATGTTTTGCATATTTATGAAGCATCATTTGCAGAATAAAGAAAATATTCAGCGCAGAAAAAATATTTTTCACGAATTTTAACACCTTATATGATAATTATTAAAATAATTACATCAAGATGATAAACATAAATGAATATCACACTTTCTATGAAATCGACACGAGTTTTGTTGGTGTTTTCATTTTTACACCCACTAATATTGATAAGTTCAGTACATATTAGTCAATAATAAAAAATTTTCCAACAGATAATACTTTCTTTCAACATGTCTTTTACGTTCTCATTTGTTTTACCCTTGTTGTGGATTTCTGCATCATTGTCATCCTCGAGTGATTTCATTGAGCGACTCGGTCTTTTTATTATTGATGATAGCCGTGTAGAACGTTGTGTTTATCGAAAAAAAGGTTTTTTGCAAAAGAAATTTGATGATTGTACTCTTAAAATTTACCGATCAAAATTCATTCTAATCACCAAGACCATAAATCTCTTCATGACTACCAACAAGTTCATTGGCTAATATTAATGAAGGAATTGCCATTACATGAAATATATGGTAGATCACTCGTGCAAACCTTATTTAAGACCTGATGATATCGAATGTATTCAAAAGAGAAAAAACGAGATGTCAAGAGTATATACTTCTATTATATTTCAAATTGTTTTTGAATTATATTGTCTTCCTTAGTTCCACTCGATTTTTCCATATTAATTAGTTGTTGTATTATTAGTATTAATATGTTTAGATCATTTCAAAATAGCCTTATTTGACTTTGTGCTTAGCATACATTTGTAGAATACTATACAATGGATTTTCCAAATAGAAACATCATTAGTTGTATTCGAGAAAGTCTTTAAAACTTTTCAATTCGAAAATAATGTCTGAAATGTAAATAAATATTTAATTAAATGTTTATTCATAGATAATTATTTGACACAAATGTATAATTTTGGCTGCTAACTCATTTAAGTTAAAGTGATTGCTTTTCAACTATGTTGATCAGTATTATGCATATTATCTAATCAATAAAATATCATTAAGTGCCAAAACAGAGACAATGATATGTGCAGAAAAATTCCCACCTGAATGATACTGATCGTTACCATTGGTATAAACTTTTAGTCTATGAAGATTATTTAGTCTTCTCTAACATTTCTTTAATATTTTTTTTTACAATAATACAAATATATTGTCTTGAATCTCTACTCTTATTTAGTATCTGTGATGTTTTTTTTTTGTTATTCATAACAGTCATCAATTGTCAAACGACGATTTATTGAATTAATTTGATAAAAAATCAATTGATTTATTATATAAAGAATAAAAAACAAACAAACATCAAACTTGACTAACAAGCATATTAGTTGAACGAAGATGTTGCACATAGTCTGATGATCTTTTTTGTTGAAGAATCATTTGTTGAGCTCGTATTTTTGCTGCTTCTACTTGTTCTTGTGTAAAATGTTTTGGAGGTGGTAGAGGTGGTATATTGTTTCGTAAAATAACTTTTTTCGAAAAATTTTCTTCATTGCTTATATTTGGAAGTTTATAAAGACTTGAAACAGTTTTTCGTATAGCATCTCGATATTGAATTTCATTATTATGATTATTTGTATTTTTCTGATTTGTTGAATATGATGGTGAACGAATAATAACATCATTTTCATTATCATCATCCTTATCAAATGTAGCCATCATTGCTGATTGTTGATTTAATGGTAAACTCCAATTTTTTGGATGATTACGATAATAAATTTCTGATTGAATAATACGAATTTTTTCATAAGGTTTTTGATAAATATTATCCGATAATCGTCGTGACGTTTTATCTGCTGATGAATAATTACCATTTAATTCCGGTAAAGATATTGCTGTCGCTTGTATTGGTGTATTTTTTACCGTTAAACCATGATTTAATAATGAAGATAATTTTTGTTCATTATCTTGATTTTTTAAATTCCAATCAATTTTTGTTGTTAAATAAATCCATAATGAAAGAATAAGTAGAACATGAACAATTTCATAAATAAATGTAATAAATAAAATTCTTAAACGTGTTTGAATGTAAAGTAAAAATATATCATGAACAAGTGGCATTTTACATGATGTATATAATAATAAAATAACAATTGCTATTAAACTTGGACAATAATGTGAACAACGTTCATAACATGATGATTTACAATTAAAATTTTCATGATATTTAAAACGATTATATGCATAATAATAAAATGTTATTGACGATATATAAATAAGAAATTCAAGTAACAAATAAAGAAAAAATGTTGTATAAGGTTGATAAAGAAGTAAATAACCAATATTATATGTAGATTCATTTGTATTGAAACAAACATTTTTTAATAATAATTGAAATGCACTATACATTAAACACCATTGTAAAACATTAAGTGCAAGAGCAAATGAATAAATTATTGAAAATATTTTTGATATTGACCAAAATACATGTGGTTCACGTAGAATACACATAAATGAAGCAAATAAAAAATTGAGAAGACTTAAACGTGAATAAGAATCAACTGAAAATGATAGAACTGAAGAAGTTATATTTGATTTTGTTAAATGTTTAGCAGTTGAAATTAAAGTAGAAGATGATAATGAAGGAGACCAATTAAATAATAGATCAAAATCAGTACGTAATAATAATGCTAAACACAAAGATAGATAAAAAAAAAAATGATTAATTATTAAAACATAATTTTCAATTTTTATTTTATTTATTTCTTTTTAATAGATTATATAATTGATATTGTCAAAATAACTTTGGGAATTATCTATCTAAATTAGTAACCATAATCGAAACAATGGGATTTTTTTTTCTTCTTTTCTTTTTGGTGTATATATCTCAATGGAACTTTGTGTCCTTGATTTAGCAATTAATAAAAGTGATTAAATATTATCATTATTTCGTGTGTTATCTTAATCACTTATCATTTTCCTTGACAAATGTAGGTTTTGCTAATAATAATCATTATCTTTCTCGTCAAATCAATTGTTCATACCTGAATCTTTTAATCCAACCATTATTTGTTTAGCATCAATTAATAAAGGTGATATTATAATAAGAAAGCTCATTGTTAAATGTAAAGTACTACTTAATGAAAATGAATGATTCCACAAACTAGTACATAATGATGTTTTAGATTTTTTTTTATGACTTTTATTGAAATCATTAATCGTTAATTGTGTATTATCATTTGATAAATTTCCAATTTTATATAAAGCTGGATAAATAAAAATAAAAAGAAGAACAAGTGATGTTAAAAGACATATTTTTTCTATTAATAATTCAAATTTTGGTGATGATAAAGTAGATTTTGGCCATGGTAAACTATCATTAAAATAACATTGTTTTATACCAAAATAGACAAGACTTAAATGAATTATTACAACAATTATTGTATACCATATCCGAGAAAGACTGATAAATTTCGCTTGTACCATTTCTTCACTGAATGAATAGCTGACTGATAACACGATTACCGTATGCCCGCTCTTCTTCTTTTTCTCTCTAATGAACACTTTTCTCGCTGTTACTTTCTTCTTTTTCTTTTTCTTTTTTTTTTTCCATATATTAGTACTGGTGCTGCTCATAAATGAATGCATCGACCAAGTGCACATGTCTATTGATGGTGCTCTCGATCGACCGATCATTCTTCTTCTTTCATTCTGTGATTTTATTTTGTTCATCGTACATACAATGGCATATACAGGATTATAGACTGATTAGTTGAGCAGTCTAGCTAATTATATATCATATGAACTGAGTGATCGTACTAGTCTAGAATATGTATGTCCGACAACTAGAGAACACGCTTCCCATATACATTTTTTGTATATTTAGATGGAAAATAAATCAAGATTGTTGTGCTTAGACTAATTTGACCTTTTGAATCCGTTATTCACATTTGTGTTAAGTGAATGAAATAAACACATACATCAAACAAATAGATCTAGTAGAATTTTTTTTTTCACGTATCATTATGATCTTTTCATATTATTACAAAATATTCAATATGGAATATTTGATATTTGCATATCGAACTATGAGATGAGACATATTGATCCCTGCGGATAAAAATGATAAAGTTTGACATCAATGTCTTTTTTTGTTTAATACATCTAACTATCACATGATATTGTACTTGACCTTTTTACAAAACAATAAATGATTCGAATAAGTGTCAGTTCACACATATTCACCCTATTGTAATAAGATGATCATGAATATTATTTTAGATTTTGTATAAAAAACAAAGAAATGTTTATTATAATCATAGTTCTTTCTACTCTGTTTATCTGATAAGATGTCTTATGGGTTAAACTAGCTGTTTTTTTTTTGTTATTTGTCGATCCGGATGAACAGCATTCAATCGGAAATTGACGTAAATGGAATCAAATGTAAACTTGTTGAGAAAAAGGAAAAAATTCTAATTTTTTTCTTATTCAGTACCAAAATCAAAATAGTTCATACGAGTATAATTGAATTTAGAATGAATCTATTGGTAATCGAACGAGAAAAAAAAATAGTCCTTTGAATTAATAAATACTTGCATTAAAAAGAAAAACTACACTCAGTATTGAGAAACTCATTAGTAATATAATAACTTCCGTTTGATTTTTAGCAGTTTGAATGTCTTAAGTTTTTCTTCAGTATAAATACGTATTGTAAAAAAAAATGTTTATCAGAGATATCTTGATCAACAAAATGCGCAAGTACTAAACGAAACCATATTAATGTTTTCCGTAGAGAATTTAGCCGGCTGATTACTATCAGATAGTAACTAAGAATTAATTTTTTTTCTTCATCTATCTTCATAGTTCAATAAATATCAGAAAAAAGATGTATGACTATTTCCTTTTCCGTTCTTAATGAAATTTCAGTTTTTTATCCTTACTCTTAAGCTCATATGTGATCATCTTCTGTCAAAAGGAAGTGTGCACAACACGTTAGAATAAGCAATTACTTTCTCCAGACTATCCTCGTAAGTACGACAAAAAATCTCCGTATATAGTAAAACCCCAAACTAAAACAACTTGTTTAAATTGATTACATGATTTGAGACGATTCGCATGACTTGAATGTTTGTCTTCAAAAGAATAAAAGAATAAATTATTTGATTAAAGTACTTAATTAATCCGCTAATCAAGTTGAATAAAAAAACACATAAATTGAAAAAAACAACACAGATCAAGTAAACGACTTAATACACATTGCTCATTTCATCTTCATTAGAAAAAAAACCAAAGTTCATTAGTTCCAATTATTATCTTTATTTCTAGTAAAAACAAAACAGGAAAAATGGCCCATCATTCCTATTCATTCATGAGTCTTCGTAATTTTCTCGTTTGGTTATGCATATCAATGATCGTCATTGAGGTAAAATTTATTAATAAAATATTTCATCAATAAAATTCTTTTTTTGTTTTCGTTTTAGTTTACTCAAGCAATCAATGATGATTTACTTTCATCATCAATCGAGGATACCAATGACCATCCATTGTATCGTCGTAATTCGAAAAAAGTAGCACAAATGCTACAACAAATGTTACAACGTGGTGAAATGCAAGTTCAACCATATCGTATTCATGAATTCCTTCACCGACTTCATCGTCGACAAGCAAATGATTAAATTTAAAAACAAACATATAATTCTTTATTTATTGTATTCCAAAAAAAGAAAGGAGAAAAGTTTTTTTCATCAACATTAGAAGAAAAAAAGAAAATTAATATATATATATAGTCTTCTTCCACAAATCTACATAGACAAAAGAAAATGTTTGTGATGAAAATAATATTAAAATTCAGATTTTTTTTCAATTCAAAATTGAGCTTTTCTTTGTTTCATCTGAGCTACAGTCTACAAAAAAAAACACGCAGAACGAGATAGAGAAGGAGAAAAGTAAGCATCTAACAAAAACAACACTTGTTCTTAAGTGATGATAGAAAAAGAATTGCTAAGAGACACACACAAATACACAGCAAGTATAAAAAGAAATTCTGATATGACCAAGACAAGGCATTTCGTAATTCGATGATTAAGATATAAAATATCACGGTGTTGTATCAACACACAAACTACATGATCGATCAACGCCCTAAAAATAATACATCAGATAAATGAATGAAAATGATTTTGAAAGAACATGAATCATCAAACTAAGCAAGATCAAGAAAAGAAAAGAGCAAGAAAAATCAATTCAAGATGATAACCCACTATATCATCATTAGAATTGTTGCCATTGATGTTGATAGTATTGTCAGTCTCGTGTGATGTTTCACGACTTTTATCAAGTTCAGAAACTTTCAGCGATACGGAGATCTTTACATATATATATAAAATTTAGTTTGGGCAACAACAAATAATATTTTTAAATGTTAGACTAAGAAAAACAAGAGAAAACGACTTACTTTAGTCGGTGATGTTTGTGCAATTTCAGAACGTGATGGAGAATAGTTTCTTGTTGGTGATCGATGAGTATTTGTCCTAGAAATATTGATTCGTATGAAGACATTTATTTTGTAAATAAAAAAGTCTTCTTACGTTGTAACAGTTGATGTCGTACGATATCGTGAATCATAGTCAATATGTGATGTAAGATCAGATAATTTTCTTAAGTCCTGAGCTGCTTTTTCACTTTAATAGAATATATAATAGAGATTATCGTATTTAAAACAAATGAATGAAGATTACCGTTCAAATCTTTCGCTTGTTAATTGTCGTTTAAGTCGATCATTATCTGTTTCTAATCCAATAATTTGTGCTCTTAATGCAGCTATTTCTTTACTTTGACTTTGTCTAAAAAGAAAAAAAGAATTCATTGTTAGAATATATATTTAAAATAAAAATAATCGATTCATACACTTTAAGATCATTCATATTTGCTCGATCTTTTATTAAGTGTAATTCTGAATCTTTTTCTTGTGCTTGTATTTGTGATTGAAATTCTTTTTCTCTTGATGAACCAATAATTTCTTCTAAATTATGTACCATAGCTTTTTCGTTAGTTAGTTGCGTATGTAACATATCAATTTCAATCTTCATATCACTTATAGCACCTTGCAATTGTTCGTTATCAATTTCTTTTGCAGTTAATTGTCGAATGATTTGTTCTTTTTTTGTTTCAACTGTTGCATTAAGGTCACGAACATTTGTTATTTCACAGGCATAATTTTGTTTATCGATTTGTAGTTTTCTTATTATTTCTTCGTTACGTTGTAATGAACGATTCATATTTGATAATTGAAGTTCATATTCTTGACTAACAGATAAGTGCTAAAAGAAGAGAAAAGAAAATTTAAAACAAAAAAGATATTTGAAATTTATTATTGTCTACTTGTTGAAGTTCTCGTTCAAGATATTCAATACGTTCGGCTAATCGTTTCATATCAGATGATTTTATTAATAGTTCTTGTTTAAGATTAGCTGCTTGAGATTCGATGTCGGCTAGAGTTAATTTTGCGTGACTTAATTCATTTGTTGCTTCACGATATTGTTCGAATAAGGTTGTTCGATCATTTTCCTAGAAGAAAAAACAAAATTGATTTTGTTTAGAATTTTCATAAGAATCTCTTAGTCCTATTTCATTCTAAAATTCTATAGATGTAAAATAGTATATTCAATTAGCTTCGATTTACTTTTTGTGTAATAACATTTTCACATTTGGCTACTTCTTTAATATATTCTTGTACTTGTAATTTGAGATTTTCTTTATCATCAATAACATGTTCAAGTTCTTGATGAAGTGTCTAGAAACATAAGATGATAGATACATTTTTGAAGATCAAAAACAAAAAACTTTTTTTAAAATTCAGTTGAGTCTTTAAGAAAATCCAAGAATTTTTAATTCAACTTTTCTATTTTATTTGAAACAGCCAGCTGGTTCATGAGCAGACATTTAAGAAAAAGGAGGATAGAGAAGAATGATTCTCAAAAAACATGAAGGAGAAAAGAAGGGTCTCGTCTTTTTTGCTGTATAATGTGTACTGTAGTATCTCAGACAAGCAAATGTATTAAGAGTATGGTTGAACGCTAATAGTTCCTTTCAAGAGTAAGGGTATCTTATGCTTTAAAGAAATTCCAACGCAATTTCATACGTGGTATCTCAATAGAAAGAAAACTGAATTCTTAAAAGAAATGAATTGCTTAAACACGAAACAGTTACTTCTAAGAATAACGGTAAATGTATGTCTCTAGTCTAACTAATCTTTATTTATTCATTTTATATACAAAATAGAAGAATATCATGTACTAAATGCGACCGACAGAGTATTTCCCAGCGGGATTCAACAATTCTTCTGTAGCACGCAACAATTAACTTGCCACAGAATTCATTCAATGTCTACATAATTCTGGTACAAAAGAGCACAACTCAAACACAAGTTTTTGATTTCATCAGCAAATTTCAATGACTCTATCAAAATATTAAAAAAGCACATAAATCTATTTTCAGAGAAAAAACCGAATTGTTAAAGATAAAATGAGAGAGCAACGTGCATGTTCTTCGTTCACTATTTGCATATCATAGCATAATCGTTCTAGATTAGACTGTTATTAACTGAACAGTTTTAATTTTATTTGTCTTAATTGACGGAATGCATCGATTACAATTTAATGAGCTACTGTAAACGATACAAATTCTGGTGTTAGACTAGAATTTTACATCAGTCTTTCTGCACAAATGGAGTCCTCAGCAGAAATCTGTTGTTGATAAGAAAACGGACGAAAGATAGCTACTCCACGACAAGTAATCTGATACTTTGGTTTTATCCTAAAATTCGTCGGATTCGGCAAAATTTACATGAGCTCTGTCGTCTGCAGTTGATCGAATCAAAGAACAAGGTTCTGTTAGTCAGATTGAATTCACGGAAAATATAGAATCCGACTAATGCAACTTTGTTTTGGAGCTTTCATGAATTTCAAACGGGATTCAGCCCAATCCAATAGAATCCTACAGTACAGTTTCCGTTTGGGAGTATGAAGAAACACAATTACATCACAAAATTCTTCAATTCTATTTTAATGAGTTCTGTCACTATTGAGATTTATAACAAAAATAGCAACAAACATGAAAAGGAGGAGCCTTTTCAAAAAGAGGACGAAAAGGAGGAGGATTCACAAGCCAGTATCAGGAAAAAGATGCAAAGTCATAGTGTTCTATCGTTTCCACATTAATGGAACATTAAATATGGACTTACTGACATACAAAAAAGAAAAATATTCCGTCCTTGATAGTTTTGAAAAAAAAAAGATTCATTCTATAAAAAATACGATGCAAACAATTGAATTACGAGTTTTGATGATTAACTCGAATTTAAAATTACAAAAATAAAAGAAACGTATAACTGTTTGAATAAATTTTTTGATTGACTCTATATCCATATATTCGAGATTTCAATTTTGATTTATGGCAATTATAATCTTTTATGTTTGTCGAACTATTTCAGTAATCTCATCACAGTATCCCATATATGATCAATATTTAGTCAAAACTCAATATTAAATTAAGAGTTTTTGATTGATGAACTACAAGTGATTATATTTTCCTATATAATTATTAAATCATTTTTCAACAGAGAGTAAATTCATTTGTTACTTATTAATAAAAGATTATCAAATTTCATGTTACTTTCAAGGATCTACGACAATGTGCTGCCATATAGAATTGATCGCAACGGTATACACTAAAATTGTCAAAACATTTTATTGGTGTTACAGAAAAACAACTCAGAGAGGCCCAGAAAATCGATAACAATTCATTCAAGAGCAAGAAAACATTAGATATGAATGTAGATAGACTCATCTAATTGTGCATGAAGCGTTCTCTGATAGCAAGTAGTAGCTGCTTTAAAAATGTTTCCATAATTCATATAGGTTTATTTTTATTTTAAGACTTTTGTCTGCTGTGATTTTCACTGTTCCGCAATGAATATAGTTTTCATCTTTTCGTGACCTTTCAATAAATTTAAAAAGTGAATGACAGAATTCAGTTACAGTTTATCAATGAGATCATCTACTTATTTATTCCATGGGACTCATCTCCATTTTTTACATGTTTATCCTTANATTCTTTCTTCTTCTTCTTCTTCTCCTCCTCCGCTTCTTTCTAATGCATACAATGGTCATTGTACTTACTTGCGGTTTCCTCTAATTATAACAATCATTAAAAGTAAAAGTGGTAAAAAATATTAGACTTATTTTTTATCATTAAAATAGTCTGACGAGAAATGATTTAAAATTTTCTCTGTCAATATCATGTGAAGAGAGAAGAGGAAGTTTTTCAAAAACCCAATCTATTCTATCAATAAACAATTTTAAAAAATGATGCAATGCTGCATCTACTATATTTTTACAATCATCAACATATTTTTCTTTCTCTTTTCTCTTGTATTTTTCGATGTTTGCTGTTAAATAAGTCTAGTTTAGTATAAATATTTGGTTTTGTAATACGAATCGGTATTTTTTTGGTTTATCTTTTATTTTCATTATTATTTGCCTAAGCTATCAACGAGAAAAAAAAACACTTCTTGATAAATTTTTAAAAAAACGAATATCTATTATTCTTGTCATTGAAAGAAAAGAAAACTTATTTTTGACTAAATTATTTGAACAGAAAGATTATTCCATCTGGTTATTTTCTGTAATCAATCAGTAGGTTATGCTTACCTGATATTTAAGATTGGCCATTTTTGTTTCAACCTCATCTGTATATTTCTTTTGTTGTTGTAATTCTAATTCTAATTCAGCGACACGATCTTCAGTAACTTTAACAATATCAATAATATATGGATCATCAACATAGGGTAATTGTTGAGCTATTGTTCGTTGTGATGATGATGATTCAGGTAACATTTCATCAATATCTAATCGTTGACGACGAAATGGTATTGTATGTTTATTTCCCCCTAAATATTTAGGTTTTTGAAGAAAAATCACAAGAAAATTTATCCTTTTTTTTGTACCTGGTGTTTGAACAACAGCTTGAAAATTTTTCTCTTGTAATTCTAATATTTTATTATCTTTTTGACGAGATTCTTTTTCTAATGAACGTAATCGATGAATATATTGAGTATTTAAAAAACGTAAGTCAGCATTTTCATGTTCTAATTTTCTTAATTGACTCTTAAATTCTATTTAAAAATAAAAAGAAATAATAATTAAAAAAAAAAAAATAAGATATCGAAATATTTGATAAAATTAACCTTTAACATGATGATCAAGTTGTTCACGACATTTAAGTAATTCTAAATGTAGATCATTATTTTCTTTAACAAGTCGAGCATTATCATTTTTATATGGATGAGCTGAGGAAATTGTTGTTGATGTATTTGCATTTGTTGAAGGCAAAGGAGCAGACAATGGTGGATTCTAATTAAAGAAAAAAAAACAATGATAAATTTTAAAATTAAAATCTATTAATGCACTTCTTTAGCTTTTTTAAGCTCTTCAGTTGTTTGAATAAAAGCTTGAAAAAGTTTTTCCACCAATGGTAATGATTCAATAGCTAATGGTTGTTTAAAACCAAATTGATCAAGACGTTTTCTTAATGTAATATATTTTTGCTCAGATAATGAAGCCATTATTAATCAGATCTCTTCCTTTCTGTTTAGACTTTCTAATTGAAATCAATCCAGACGGAATCCATTATGACTTATCTAAATTAAAACCAATGCGGATTTTTAGCTTTTTTTTAAATATTAAGTGGTTTTATTAAGAGAAAGAAGAATGAAAAAATGAACCAATGGAATTTTTTATTGTCCATAATTCATGTTGTTATCTAGGTAACGTCTATTAAACATAAGTATACAATGAAATACAATGTATAATATATAACAGATAAATTTTATATGTCAGAATATCGAGATTTTGCAAAAAAACGATATCAGGTTTATTTGAATGATTAATCAATAGATGTCTATAGAAATCATTTTTATCATTATCAATTGTTCAAGATGAACATACACATATGAACCAACCAGTGACATAAATTACAATGAATGATGAAAGTAGTATAGAGTTAGTGTCTGTTAAACATTAATTTTTTACTTATATGGAAATCCATGGTTCATTCTTTTTGCTAATATTTATAGAATATGTTTGAATTTGAGTTTTACGCGATTCATTAAAACAATTTCAAGGTTCGGATTTCATCAAATTTCGAGAAAAATATAAAAGTTCGAAAACTTTTGCCATTAAAAAAATACTCATTCGATATTTTATGCTTGTCATTACATGTTTAGAATTATAAATTACCCTTTTGACTCTCTAGTGATCATTTATCATGGATCAAAAATTGTTCTTTACATTGTATTATCATCTATCTTGTGATATCTTTTTCATAAAACCATTTGTCTATGATAAAAAAAATACATTGATTCACCTTGTCAATATTGTGTGACTTGCCAAGAAAAACTTAACTCGACTCTATATTAAAAATTTGACTTTCAGGGATTTCCCAAAGTCATCAGGATTGGAAGATTTTTGCTAAAGTTAAGCGGATTCGTGGAGGTTGTTGAGAATTTTTTTTTCGCAATTGGTGAGCAAAAAAAGAGTAAGATCTTGGAACTATGCTGCAGAAAAATGAAAAATTTTCAAAAATAGAAGGTCAACCTCTTAACTCTCCGAACTGCTTGGGGAGACTCCTGTTTAGAGTCCAGTTGTTTCAAAAACATTGAAATCGAGAACTCAACTGAAATTGTTAATTTATCAGATAGATACAGAAGTTCTTAAATTCGTGTTGAAAAATCTTCATTTTTTCACTCTTGAGACAAAACATGTCAGTATATATTGTTTAAGTACTGAAATATATGTAAAATTTTTGCATCTATTAAATGATATAATAGTTTCGGCTACACGTGATATTTTAGGAACCGAATTGGAATGACTTTTTTCTCATGTACAGTAATCTTCACATGTTCCTAATAAACCAATCTAAGGAATTCATTCTTGAACTTGATTTTAAAATTCAAGGCTTGAATAGATATTTATTCGTATCTAAGGATGAATGAAAGTAGAACAAATACGCATATTAAAGATCATAAGAGTGAGAAAAGAAATACAGAACATTAACAAAAAGCTGGATTTTAAGAATATGAACAAAAAAGTATTAGTTTTTATAGTTTTTAGTGCTTTTTTAAAACATAATTGTTTTTCTTTCTTTGGTCATAACAAAAAAAATTGAATAATTTATATGTCAATGTCAAGTATAGGTAAATGTTTTTTGTCATGTTTCATTGTTGAATTTTTTGGTGAAACTGATTTAGCAAAACCAACACGATTATTTCCAAAATCAAATTCTGTATACCATGGTCCAATAAAAACATCACCAAGTATCCAAAGTGGTCCAGCTGGCGGTGGAATATCAATACCAGCAAAACCAGATAAACATATTGTTTTATTAAATTGACTAATAGTTAAAACATATTCTGGACCATCCAAATAAAAATCATTTCCATTAATTGTAAAATGAACACGTGGTAAACTTTCAACTAATTTACAATCAATCATATACTAAAATAGATAGGCTTCAAATTAGAAAAAGAACGCAAATTTTTTGTTTTTATCTTACTTCACCACCCGGAATTGGAATAGCACCTAATTTTGAATTAAGACTAGCTATTTCAGCCTTTGGACCAACTAAAAGACTTGTACCAGTATCAGCAATTCTAAAAAAAATAAAAGTCAAATTAAAAATAATCGATTTACAATCAAAGCTATTCTTTACACTTGACAGCCGCCTTGACAATATTGATTTGAATTAAATGATATTCCATCAAGTTTAAATTGCCAATAATCTTTACGAGTTACATCAGCATAAACAAAGTCACCTTCGTATAATTGTGGATCGGAACCGCCTAATTACAAACACAAAAATAAAAAATCTCAATTTTTGTATTGAAGAAGAAAAAAAAAACATAACATACCAAAAATAATTTCTCCACCACGTGGATTATTTGGATCTCTGAAATCAATAAAAATTCATATCTCTCTAATTCGTTTTAAACATACCGATCAAGCCAAAAACTAAATACATTATCTGGAATTAACTTTTGATCCCACATATTATTAAATACTGGATAAACACCATCAACAGCAATCGATGGATATGCAAGACCAAGAATTCCTGCAAAAAAACTTCAAATTATTTTTTTAGAAACAAAAAACAAAACGTTACTCTTACCATCAAATTTAGCTGTAACAAAAACAATACCCGGTTGTTTAATAGCTTCAGCAAATCCTTGATTTTGAACTTTAGCATCACTAATCTAAAATAAACAATCATAAAATGAATAAAACAATGATATTATCTTACCGTTACAGTATCTACACTAATATAACCTTGAAGTGAACCAGTACCATATTGAATCTGTAAAAATTAAAAATAGGCTAGAAAATACAATATTTTGTTTTTCTTTAATTTACTTTAAACTCTGTTCCGTTAGCTACATATGTTGATGATTTTGCACCATTATATTTTTTATGTAATTCTAAAATGAAGTCTTCTAGTGAATATCTCTACAAGAAATATAACTTACGACAAGCAATATCGAGAAATGAACAATGGACACTAATATTAAAATAAAAATTTATTGGTTTTTTTACAAATTATTCAAACGATGATATACCTTGGTACCCAAAGATTAGACGAACCGGTACTAAGAAAAATTTATTTATTTATTTTTTCTATCAAATAATATTAAATAAACATACTCAAACACAACACGAAAAGGTTGAGCAGGTGTACCAATACCAATATCTCCATAATATTGAGCCTAGAAAATATAAAAGTTCTATTAAAAAAACAACTAATCATTCTTATCTTACATCCAAATAATTTGTTAGACCTTCAGGGATTGGTCCACCAAGGCCATATTTACGTTCAAATGCATTTAATTTATGAGAACCAGCTTCAAAAAGTTGATCATGTGCTGATTGAAAATGATGTAGTTTTACTCTATTTTATTTTATTCAAAACAAATACATTTAATGATTCATCAGATTAAATAAATATACAAACCGATGAAGGTGAGCATTTATACCGAAAATAATCAATAATAAGCAAAAGACAGTAGCAAGACGGGAAAAGCCTTGCATTTTTTTTTGATTTGTATATATGTATCTAGAAATGCAATAGAAATAGTGTTTGTCTATACTAACAACACAATATGCAACTGTGTGAAAAAAGATAAGGCCCTTTACGATGCACGCCATATCATATGTATTTTCTTCATCATTCACTAACGAAGTAATAAGAACGTCTACGAAGAATTGAGGTAAAAACAAAAGGAAAAAAAATGTATATATTCAGATGAGTCATAAAGTTGAAAATGACTCATTCAATGATTTTATTTGATAATAACAAAAAAAATTTCTTTTCTTGACTTTATGCTATAGATCAAGTGAAAAATTATTTCGATAAATATATGAGTATCCAACCATTTTTCTGCAAAAGAAATTTTTTCAATCGACTTTGCTCGCAATATTTGGACGAGAAATGGTCAGAGAATAGTTGTGCTCAAGAAAATGAGTCAACTTTCATGGGAAAGAATAGAGATTTAGTTCATTTTCTGAGACATTTAATAAAGATTGCACTGGTGATTTCAAGTGTTTGAGTTCATATGTTATCTACAAGTAGAGACCACGAAACTAATATAATCTCCAGAGGATTCTAAAATTTGATCGAGATGCTAGAGCAAAATCTAAGTTCAAAACCTTTAAATCACTGCTGAAATCCAATTTGGACGCTCTTATAACGTGTTTCCATTCCGAACCATTTCAAACGAAAGTTGACAAATGCTTTGTGGTCAAAACTATTTTTCTGACTACTCTTTATCTAAATAGTGCGACAAAGGTAGATAAAAAAAACTTTGAAAATAAATTTGTTGAATATCCATCGATTTATCTAGTTCATTTTGCACCTGGTTAAAAGTATTTCAGTTGAGTAAAAACTATAGGTTAGGATAAGAATCTATGATATATATGAAAAATCAGTTTGCACAGTGAATTAAGAACTTTTAATGAATCTCTTCTAAACAAGATATCAATGTTCAAATGACGACAATCATTTTCCAAGGAGTTACTTTCTTCATAATATATTTTATCATCTCAAAAATTTATTTTTTAGAAAAAAAATTATGTGCAAACTAATTTCTCATGTCAACCCATACAAATATCTGATTCTAACTGATAGTTTTTCATTTTAATCAATAAAAATATTGTCTAGTCATGATCATTTGATTAATTAATATCATAAATTTATTGTTGTAATAAAAACAAATTTTTTAAATGTTGACTTATATTTAATTGTTCGATATTTTTTTGATTAACTTTTATCATCGATTGACGAATTTTTCTAATTGAAAAAAGTTTTAATGAAACAGGATTTTCATGATATATCATTGTTAATTCATCAAAATATTGATTTAATCTATCAACTAGTTGTTGTCGTTTTGCTTGTGTTACAAATGAATTTTGCATAGGTATTATTAATATCTTTGGAAGATCTTTTGTACGTATTTCATTAATTATTTTCTTTGTTAAATATCCATAATGAGAAGATAAATATAAAAGTTGCTTAACATTTGTCATTGATGGATGATTACATGGATCATTATTTGCTTCAAAACAAACACCAGGTATATAAATTAATTTTAAAAAAATTTCAATACATATTGAATAATTTTCACATGGAATATGATGTAAAATTATTTGTATTAAACATAAAATAAACGAATCAATATATGATATCGAACGACGTTCTTTAAAAATAATTGAAGCTATTTCAGATAAAAAATATTCAAATGAATCAACTTTTGTCAATAAATTTAAAATAGCGCCATGTTCAAGAAGATCAGTAACAATAGGTACGCAAAAATTGTACAGAGCATTTTGAAGACCAGCATTAAATTCAAATTCTACTTGATCAGGATAAACGGAAAGAAGATAATCACGAAAGAAATTATACACAATTGGATAATTTGATTCTGAAAGATAAAATTGCATAAATTTTCAGAACATATTTGTAGATATTGATAAAAACTGAATTAGAATTTTAAGAAAAATTATTCAAAAGATGATTGATTTAGTTTAAAAACGAACTAGTCACGGATAATCGATCGATAGTACGTGAATTTAGGGGGGTGGGGGAACTTCTCTGTGCTATCTAGAGTACAGACATGGATTTGGATCATGTTTTTTTGGAGCCGCACCGATCACAACTCTGTTAGATTAGGAAAACTTTAGCATTATCGATGTTTTAACTGTGAGTAAAACGAAATACAGTACATTTTCACGCGTGGCTACTAGATTAAATCATGGAAATGTTGACTTTTGTCCTAAGAGGATCGCCTGATAAAACTAAATTTTTCGAAAAAAATCCAAACCTGAATCTTTTGTCATGAAAGAATTCTTTGAAATTTGCTTTTTCAGAATGTGTATGACTTTTTCTATAACCAGGTTTCACAAGCAATACACTACCTTGAAAATTCTAATCGAAATAGTTGATTCCTTCTACAAATACTGAAAAAAGATTTGATTTGCTCTCCTTTCTATGGATTACTACGTTTTTTCCCCATTCAATATATTTAGAAGAGATCATCCATTATGATTAAAAGTTTCAGAACGGTGTGTTGGCTACAAATCTGTTTACAAACAGGGTTCCGGATTAATATCTCTTAGTTCAATTTTTCTTCTAATATCAGGGTACAAGTCGAAAAACCAGTGAAATAGTTATAACTTCAGAAGAACTCCGTATGGGATCGAATTCTTTTAGGATCCTTCTAGTCGTATCAAGCTCCACAATTGCTCTATAAGAAGGACACTCATAGTAAAAGGAAGAGAGAAAAGCTGTCAAATTAAATTTCTAACTTCAAAGGTTAGATAAGTATTTGCATATTCAATCTTTGAAAAATAAACCTACCCATTCCACATAGACGTCTGAATGGTGAACAATTATTAACATCTCGTATGATTGGATTTGCTCCATGTGCAATTAATAATTGAATATATTTCAAACGTTTTCTTGGATCAATAATATTCATCACAACACATACTGATAAAGGTGTTTTATGATCAGATAATAAACTATTTGGATTGAAACCAGATTTGAGTAATAATTGAAAAATATTTTCATAATTTTTCATAATAGCATTGTGTAATAAATTACATTGTTCTGTTTGTTCATTGAATTTTATTGCTTTTAAATAATATGGATTTTTAAGAAGATTTTCATCATTATTTAAATGTAAATATTCAATTGTTTTATCTAATAATTTATTTATTTTTGGTTTGTTTAATGAATTTGAATAAACATGTATAATTGATTCATATATTGATGACGATGGACAATATTGTTCAAAAAGTGCACTTAAGATTTCAGATGATTGATCAGAATTTTTAAAAAAATTATCTAATTGAGTACCAAATTCTTGCAGACGTATCTCAACTAATGATGTTGATTGTTCACGATTATTGTGCGATGCATTTTCCATGATTAAGACCTAAAAAGGAAATGATATTGTAAAAAATACCAATCAATAAATATTTCTTCTGACTCATAAAGAAAAACAAAATTATTGTAACAAAATCTTTTCGCTACATGTGATTTATTAAAGGTAAATGGAAAGAAAAAGAAAAACAAATTTTTCTCTTTTGTTACACGACTGATTGATGACAATCTGATGAAAAAAAAAACGTGTGATTTAAATTAATATACATAAAATAATTGAAACATCATAGAAACCCATTTCGATGTGTATTGAATGCACGAATAGTTATAACATAAAAATTTTAGAAGACTGAATTTTGTTGAATTACTTACTTATTTTTGTTTTCGATCACGAACAATACTGTTGGAAAAAATATAAAATAGAACAGATGCTTTTTCAAGGGGATAAGTGTAGATTGGGTGCCCGCTGCATCTATTGACCACCTGTAGTACCCTTAGAGCTCCATTCCCCAGTACCTAGGTACCAAATTTAATCGTAAGGCGATGGGAAGGTGCTGAAGATATTCATAGTAAAATGTGCTAAAGGTGTTGAATAAAGGCTGAGGATACCGAACAGGTACTGTGGACACCCAACTTGTACTTACCGCCTTTTATCTTTTCATTTTGAGATCAGAGAAAAAAGATAAGTTTTAGATTCCTATAACTCATCACTATAGCGCACTACAAAATAAAATTTCGAAATATTTTGATAACTGTTGTATAAATAGATGAATGAATTAATAATTATTCGAAATTTCTTCTTTATCTTCATTTCTTCAATAGAATATATAAACTTGAACTATTCCCGAATATCTTCGAATTTTTCGATGAATGGTACTTTGAATTCAAATCTTTTTGCTTACCTTTTCGAATATTTCTTAATGTAATTGGACTATTACCATGGTTATTTGTTATATACCAGTCAGATCGCTGTTTTAGTATATATTCATGTTTTAAAAACTCGAAGAATACAAACAGTTTGCTTTTATCAAAAAGATTTGTCATCGCCTATACAAGTTAGACTTATTCTAATGAATATAAAAGATAATCTGAAAAAATAGTAATGAAATAGTTTTAACTTATTCTATAAACTAAAATCTACACTAATCAATTGAATTAATAATATATTCTGATTTTGATAAGAATTTCATATTTATTCGATGGTATTTTTCTTTTATTTCAAAATGAACATTTTCTTTTTCTTTTTGTTATAACATGACAACAGCAAAACAACAACAATAATAATAATAGTCACTAGAATAATATTAGTATCATGTCGTCGTCATTGATGATTGTTTATAATTTAAGTTTTGTACGACGAAAATGACGACGTTTTGAATTATATCGAATTGTATTTCCTGTACGCATTCGAATCTAAAACCAAATTGAAAAAAATTATATCAAATAAAAATTATGATAATTACAATAGTTAATTTACCCATTGTGGTACAGGACGATTTTGTTTTTGTTTTTTTGCAAGTACTTTTTTTATCTTAAGTGTCTTATGTGACGGCATCTGAAAACATAGAAAAAAACGACATTCTCTTTTGTATGAAAATAAAAAGAAAACAATTCACAATTGCTCTCAGGGAAAACTTGGTGATTAGTCAACAGAAGATATTCTGCTGGTAAATTTATCATCTTCGAGCAATTGTCCGATTTGTAAAACAAAGATTTATCTCAAATCATTTGTAGATATAAAAATAAAAATGAGATGCGAGGTTAAAAATGAAGACGCAAATTAGAAAATTATAATGTTAAATAAAAATTATCCAATACGTGGATCAACTGTAACAATATTTTTTTCATCCACAAAAACACGAATTCGAGTTGGACAAAAATCAAGTGTTACAGGTGAATTATCACGAAGTGTTTCGATATGATCAACATCTAAATTTATAAAAAATAAATATTAATAATTTAAGATATTGATCTATTATTCTAACCTGATTCCTCTTTTAGAGTTTTTATTGCTGAATTTACATCTTTGCCAACTAATTCTGGCCATACACGTTTTTGACTTGCTGACATTTGATTTATCTGAGGTTAGAAAATAACAAATTACTCATAAGATCATTAAAATAAATAGATCTTCTCCAAATGAAAAAGAATCTTGGTCTAATTGCCAAGGCACATAAAATAAGGTAAATGTTACAATATTGCTGGTCAGAAAAAAGTGCCATTTACAAAATTCTCAGTCGATTTTTTTTTTCTTCTCTCTATATCGATCAACCAAACTTTCATATGAGAATAAAATCAACAAATGATTCCCTGACTCAAATGCTGTGAATGAGCTTATTTTTCAGTGGTTATTTCTAAATGTACTGTGTAATGAGTTTTTATCGACGGGACATATATTAAGATTTATATATATTCAGAATTAGCGTAATTTGATCAGTATTTCTGCTAAATATTATGCTGATCCTTCTTAAAAAACTGAGAGATGGCGCTCTGTGCTACTTATCTGAGATAAAGGCAAGGCAGATACTATACTTTATCAAAGAGTATAAAATTTTTCAATTCTCAGCATCCATATATTTAAATCAGGATCGCGTCAGATTGAAATTTTCAGTGCGCTTAAGCCGTCTGTATCAACCACATCAATTGCTATGCTATGACTTAGTTTTCTAGTTCGATTATTTATCATAAACATGTCACTGTTTAATCGTACCAATCAAATAGAGAAAATACAAATGGCCACGATGAAAATATGAGCTACTGTAAAAAGATGCCTCATGTCTTACAAGCAAGACGGTTCATCCATCCAACGTCTACTTTAGACATGTACTAGACAGGAGATAAGTCTTGTTTAGTGAGACATGAACTACTTGTTACTTCGATTGACCAACCGTTTGTGTCTATTCACTTTCTTTATTTTATTTAATTTACTTTCACATATGAGAAAAGATAAATCATAATTAATACGTTTCATTTATTGATTTTTGGTATTGTTATTTACTGTACATGTTTATTTTCATATAAATTAATGAAGGGTAGTATTACGTGATGTTAATTTGTTTCTCTTTATGCTAAAGAGTTCCTGGTAGTAATCCAAAAATTTCTTTATAAGAAGTAGCAAGCTTCTATACTTGGTAAAATTTGTTAATACAACATTCTTTTTTTCGTTCTTACTGTCTTTCAAATCGGTTCCACTTAATCGTTTGAATTCATTGTCATATCAATTTTGTAGTAGCTCTTTTATGAATATTGATTAATGAAAAATAAATGATGTTCATATGAAGAATTTCAAAGTAAAACTCGAATAATACCTGATGATATTAATTGTAAATATTTCGTTAAAAATGAACTTGAAGTAGATGTCTTGTTTAACTAGTTATTTTCTTTTAATTCTATTTTTCTTTAGGTAGATGAGTGAAACTGATTTTTTGGCAAAAAGACCTTTATGTAAAGCTCCTCATGAACAAAACATATTATTTAAACTAAAAGATTTGCAATTTTTTTTTTATTACAATTTATGGTTTTTTTTCATTGAGAATGGTTTAACTGATCCTCATCCTATGATGAGAATTTTGATAATGCCGTCAAGTGCCACTAGTTTTGAAAAAACTTTTGTTCGTCAGAAACGTGCCCTATAGAATGGCTGTTTTTTAGAATTGGTGGTCTTCATAAGATTTTGCACTTGTTATCACGTACATAAAACTGAATCATTGGTCTACTCAAAAATTGCGTGAAATCCTGGTCGAAAAATGTAAAAGAAAGTTGAACTATATGATAGTATAGCTCTAATTATACTAAGATCTTTTCTATTTCTGCTATTTTTCTATCAACACGTTTTTATTTTTTTATTTTATTTATCTAATCTTATACGATATCTCAATTGAATTTATAGCTATATAGATGAAACTAAATAAGTTATTTTTCATTAATTTCTGATATTAAATTTTGTCATTTATTTTCTCTCTCGATTATATATTAATATTGTCGATATTATCTTACTAGAAGGATATTTCATAACTATAGCATTCTTAAAGGACATTTTGAAGTAAAATATAATGCGAATGTAATTTAAATTAGGTTGAGCAACAAGATTTAATCCGACACAATAGAGAATGAGATAGATTTTGAATGCTTATCTGAGTTTTAACTTCAAAGTTTTTAGAAATTCTTTTCTCGTAAATGTGTTTTTTAATTTCTACTTGCAGACTCGTCTAGCATTAGTTTTTCAGACACTTCAGCTAATCTATGACATACTAATTAGGGAATAGATTTACTTCTCTGTGAACATTAAGTATTAGTAACAATATTTTCAATAAGATAACTTTTTTTCCATAAATTTCACTTCTGTTTAAATTCTAACTCTACAATGAAATCGAAAAAAAGTGAGATCTATGAAAATAAAATATTATCTTATCGAAAATATTTTTATCACTACTTAATGTTCACATAGAAGCAAATCTATTCTGGCATTAGTATGTCATAGATTAACTGAAACGTCTAGAAAAGACAGATGTTAGATACTCTTTTGCATTAGTGTACGTGATCCAATCAGGAGAAATGAAGACACGTCAGTGTCTAAATTAGACATACATCAACCAATGAGAAACAGGATCATGTGTGTTAATTTTTTAGAGTCATGTTCTTCTTCACTTTAATCACTGCGTTCTCTCCCACACACACTATTGTGTGTAAATTACACCAATCAGTGTATAGATCTAATTAAAGTAAAGAAGTACCAAATATGATATAACTATGTTGGAAGTAATGCCTAATTTTTCTATGAAATTATCTTTTTAATTGACCCAATTATAATATTACCTGAAAAAAAGTGCATCAATAAGATTACTTCACACTTTTTTTCTGAATCATTCGCAGAATCTTTCTTCGTATTGTTGTGACATTAAGTTTCGATTCTGTGTTGATATTTTTTCTAAAGCTTTTTTTTTATCAACATGTGCTTATTTCTCTTTCGTACTTTATTCATATTTATTCTTCATTATTGATTGTAGATTATACTTGTGTTTGATATTACAATGTGGGAGTTCCAGCATTTTTTCGTTGGTTAACAAAGAAATATCGATTAATCATTGTTAATTGTATTGAAGATAGTCCTTCAACAGTTAATATATTTAAAATAACTTTTGCATTGAATTTTTTTATTTTTAAAATGCTCAAGGTGTTTATCATCCATTAGATGAAACTCGTCTGAATCTGAATGGAATCGAAGTAAATATTAAAAGAAAAAACAATGGGATATGTTTTCATTTTTTCTTTTAGTTTGACAATCTTTATTTAGATATGAATGTAATAATTCATCCGTGTACTCATCCGAAAGATCGTCCACCACCAAAAAATAAAGATGAAATGATGATATTAACATTTGAATGTATGGATCGTTTATTTTCAATTGTTTGTCCACGTAAATTGCTTTATATGGCTATTGATGGTGTTACACCACGAGCTAAAATGAACCAACAGCGTTCCAGACGTTTTCGAGTATCAAAAGATACAATTGATAAAGCTGAACAAATGGAAAAAATTAAAAATGAAATACGGGCTAATGATGATCTTTTACCTGAAGATAAAAATCAACAACAAAAAAGTGAACATTTTGATTCAAATTGTATTACACCAGGTACACCATTTATGTCAAAATTAGCTGATTATCTTCGTTATTATATAAGACATCGAATGAATACAAATCCAGCTTGGCGTTCAATAGAAGTTATTCTATCAGATGCCAATGTACCTGGTGAAGGTGAACATAAAATAATGGATTAAATTCGTCGGCAACGTGCACAACCAGATCATGATCCAAATACCCATCATGTTTAAGTTGTATGCGGTGCTGATGTTCATTTAACTATGCTTGGCTTAGTAACACACGAACCATATTTTACAATAATGCGTGAAGAATTTATACCAAATAAACCACGTCCATGTGATTTATGTGAATAGTTAGGACATGATATGAAAGAATGTAAAGGTATTCCTAAAGAACAATTTGGAAAACATGATGAATTAATATCAACAGCAAACTATGGTGAAACTCGATATATATTTATATGACTTTTTATATTACGTGAATATCTTTACCGGGATTTAGAAATTCATTATCAATTACCATTCGAATGGAATCTTAAACGTGCCATTGATGATTGGGTATTTATGTGTTTTTTTGTGGGAAATGATTTTTTACCACATTTACCATCACTTGAAATACGTGAAAATGCTATTGATCGTCCTATATGTATATATAAAGATAATGTACCCAAATTTCAAGGTTATTTTACAGAAAATGGTATGCCATATATGAAACGTGTTGAAATTATTTTAATAAGTATTGGTAAAATGGAAGATGAAATATTTATGACACGACATGAATTCGATCAACAACAACGACAACGTGAGCGAAACCGTTCAAATAATTATCAACCATCAAATAAACGACTTAGATTGACAATAGACCGAAATTGGTATGTTTATTTTTTATATTTCGAACCAGTATTCATAACCATAGAACTGAGGAAGTGCAGACTTTTTCCTTTGCCTAGCTTCTCTTGAAAAAAAATGTTCTCAAGATGAGATTCAAAATTATCGTAATTGGCATTTGATACCTATATTTTGCTTGAATGCAGCATAGGTAACAAATAGAAATCTAGACAAAAGACACTTGTTTTTTCCGTCGTTTTCTTCATTGCCTTTGTTCATTTCAAAATTTTTCTCGGTTGGAGATATTACATGCATGAATTCTTTTCGTATAATGCACTATCAATATTTCCTTTAGTTCCGCATATGGGATTTCCTTTCATATGTTAATAATAAATCGGTATGTGAATCCTCCTTTTTTCAAAAGGAGCTAAAAGCAAAAGTCTGTCCGCGTAATAGTTCAATTAAGGTGCGCCAAATGCAAAAACAGAGTAAAAAAATTTTTTTTGATTTACATACGGTTTAATAGAGCTCATCGAGTTGATTCAGAATACCTACTTTTTATTGATTTTTGTTCAAGTTTTCGATAAAAAATATCGAAAACACTGAAAAAACGTAAAAAGTCGAAAATTGATTATTTTTCGAAAAAAGTCAAAATTCATCCCTTTCCACTGACAGTACGTTTTGGAAACCACTCTTTTTCAGACTCAGTATCCCAAAAACTGAGTATCACCATGCGAGTTCAAGTGATCTTGGACGAATTTCCACATAGTCATCATGAGTCATAAAATGAATGAGGACGAGAAAATGGTATGTTGACGTCCTTGTCTCGCAAACCTATTTAGTTTTTTATTTGAAAACTTTTCGTCAATATTCATAAACCATTCGAATCGTCAACCAACAGGGAAAAAAAGTACATATCGGTTTAAAACAATTTTCTTCCCTCGCTGAGAAAATCGATGGTTTTGAAAACAGGGGGGAAAACGTTAGAAATTCTGCTCGTATTTTAAGTCACAAATCGATTAAAAGTAGATATTCTGAATCAACTTGACGAGCTCCGTTAAACCATATGTAAATTAACAAAAAAAAAAATGTTTGCTCTGTTTTTGCATTTGGCGCACTTTATGTACGTAAAAGAGAGAAAAAAAGAATGATATCAATGTTTTAGTGGACATTCAAGTGGCTTACAACGATCCTATCAACTGGACAGAAGCAACATAGCCAACATTCGGGACGAATTTCTCTTTTCTAAGAGAATGCAAGAAATATTTGGCGCCACTAGGAAAAAACAATTTTTTTATTGAGAAATTATTACACCCCAACATCGCCCTGGTCAGATCAGCTCTGCCAATTACTAAAACTATCAACCGCATGAACGTTTTCCTAATCGTCAACTGGATGGGCATTGTTCGCGACATCATAAATATAGCGATTTTTGTCAACGATAGCCAGGTATTCGCTTCTCCACGACAACCTAGCGGCGATTTTCGTCCACGACAATAAATTGGTTTTTTTCCACAACGGCGCCAAACTTCCATGTAGTCCATAGGAACCAAACTATCAAGAAAATGTACAAAAAACTTTTATTTTTTTGTTATGTACGAGTTTTTTTGAAGATTTTTGTATCAATATCAAACATGTAAATAAAGAAAATTAGTACAAAATACATATATATATATACAAATATACGTGTATACTAATTCAATGCAGTTCAGATTTTAAGTAGAATATCATTTTTCATTCTAAATAATATGCATATAAATTCTAAAAGAGTGCTTAAAAAATCCCATTAAGACCGGTTGTCGTAAAACAAAAAATACATGATTTTGTTTAGTTTTCAATGCTCTTTCTTATACCATACTTCAACCGAAAATTATGACAAGATGTATATATAACTGCTAATGAATAATAATTAATATTTAATTATTATAATCAATAGTTTTTCAAAGATTTTTTTATACCAAAATGTAGCCCGTTCTATTCTGGATCTAATGATATATTTTTTAAACGTTTTCTGTTCTTTGACAACGGCAAAATCGAAAAAATACAAAAAGTGTCTTAAAATTTTGTCCGCTGGACAAAAACAATTTCTGTCATACAAACTGAACCGGTTGACCGTTGACGTTTTCGATGCAGTAGATTTGTAGCTTGTTCCGAGAGCTATCGAAATCACTATTTAGATGTCCATTAAAAGCGGTCTTTGATGGAGAAAAACAAAGTATCTTAAACTTTTGTCCCACACTTTATATCAATATAGAAGTGTACGCCACCTTTCGTTCTCGGATCAAATTATTTTTTTATTGATCGCACGAGATGAGTCAATAAAGCTTTTTTACTTTTCGCTTTTCGCTTAGCAATAACATAACCAACAGTTTTTTTTTATTAAACGAATGAGTTAACGATAAAACTAAGTGACAATGAGTTTCAAAAATCTAATAAATTTCAAATAAAAATTTGAATATAAAAATAAAAATTCTTTTTTATTGATTATTATTTTAAATTTAATGCTTTTTTGATTAATCGATAGACGTCACTAGTATCTCTTGACATCACAGCATCATTTGAAGTTGTCATGTCTCATGACTTGACAAAAATAAAATGTTTACTTTTTATAAATCGTTTACAATTGTTTTCAGAAAAGAAATATTTTTGTTATAAAACATTCAAACAAAATGACAACATCCGACCATCGTCATTCGAATCATCATAAGGAATTAAATAATGTTCATCCTGCTAATGATAATAATAATAATAATTCAAGAGATGCTCAAATAGATTCTGGTACTCAGCACAAAAACAAAAGATTTTTCTTCTTTAATATTCTTGAAATTTTGTTTGTTTTTTTGTTTTAATTTAAATAGAATTACTTGAATTAGAAACAGCTTTGAACGATATTGAAAAAGCCATGGATAAAATAGAATCTCAAAATTCACATATTCAAACAAAATTACGTGATCTACTTGAATCAAATAGAAAAATGGCGAAAGAATTTACTGATATACGTCGTGGCATGACAAATAAATTTAAAGATGTAACACGTGATTTAGAACAAACATCAGGTACAGCACATGATTTAGCTGCTGTTACGTCAAATACATTAAATAAAATTGAACACGAAATGTCATCAACGAATGAAAATAAAAATTTTAAATAAACTATTATTCACTTTTATTCTGTTAGTACGCTTATTTTCTCTTCCAATAATAAGAAAAAAAAAAAACAAGCAACATTCAATAATATTCTTTGAATGATTTCGTTTTGAATGAAATTAACGATTCAGATAAACTGTTTATTGTTTCAGATCATGTCTCTTCTTATACGATCTATTCTACGTGTAACACCTCGACGTTTTGCAAGTACCGTTGGTTCGAATCCACAAGGTACTCAAGATGATCCATCATCAGCAGCAAATTTTATTCCGGATTTTACTTTTCCTCAAGGTCTTCAAGGTGATTTATCAAAAGAAAATGCAAATGATGCTATTTGTAATTTATGGTTACAAAAATGTAAACTCTATGGTTATGATAACTGTGAAGAACGTTTACAGAAATTATTAGATTTAGAATCCATTCAAAAAAAATAAGTTCTTTCAATATCAATCGATTTTCTCATCAATACTTAATCAACACAAGTTAAACACTGTCCATAAATAATCTTTTTTTTTAGTATTTATAAGTTGAATATATTTATTTTATCAAATATTTCTATACGATGTGATGTCCATAGTAGAGCCAGTTAGTTAATAAATATAGCTTATTCTAGAGAAAAATTTACGTTTTGATTATATATTGATCAAGAATATCCCGAAATTCGGAAAAAAAAATCCGGAGGAAAAAATCCGGAAAAAAAATAATTTGGAAAATATAAATCCGGAGGAAAAAAATCCGGAAAAATTCTGTGAAAAGATTCAACAGTTTATNAACACAAACAACGGCCCCCCCCCCCCCCCATTACAGACCTTAGCAATCAATATAAAAGATGTTAGATTCTCAGTTCTTTTCTTGGAAAATTGATCAAGTTATTATTTTGAAAAATAATGAATATCATTATTTGTGACTTGATTAATGTATATCATAGTGTGTAAGATCTGCTGTAGATATCATAGAAATGTAAAACACACTTATTTGTCAATCAGTTCAATGATTATAATAATAAGAATGATAAATTAAGAAAAAAGAATTTAGAAAAAAATAAAAAAAAAATAATGAGCGAATAGTAACAATGAAAATAAAAAATAAGGCGTCTGTCAGAAAACGAAAAATAAAAAATTCTTTATTTTGCACCTTCTGCATTTCCTATTAATATAACGAAGCTGGAGAACATATGTGAGTTCCACATTTCAGCCCCAAAGGGGCTGCGCTAACAAGCTTTCTACTAAATAATTGAAATAATTGATGAAAAATGCAATCGATTATAATAGATTCTAAGAATAATCTATTAAAATCTATTATCTATTAAATAATCCAAATAATTGATGAAAAATCCAATCGATTATAATAGATTGTAAGACTAATCTATTAAAATCTGTTACGCACTAAATGATTGGAATATCAATCAAAAATTTTCTTTATTATATTATAGTGTAGCCAAGCGATCCGACAAAATCCAACCCCTCACTTCCTCGCAGTGTCGGATGGTCAACGTCATCTTCACGGCTAAGATGGGCTCTGGTAAAGCCCTTCAGGACTAGTCATCCGAAGCGTGTTTCACAATGACTCCGAAAACAACAATTGAAGAACCCATTCCGGGCAACAGCTGTTCGCTTCGTCCTCCGCATGCAAGGATTCCCAAATCCGAGCGTATGATAGGGCAGTCTCCTGTCCTTGAAAATGCATCGACTATTCGAACAAAACACAAAACATCAACATCTAGCCGCAAGGCTATTACAATATCCACCTACAACGTACGCACTCTGAAAAAACTTGGAAAATTACATCAACTTATCTACGAGTGCACCGAAAACAACATCGATTTGGTAGCCATTCAAGAGCATCGCTGGCAAACACAAAGACAAGTCAGCGCATACTATGAAACGTTAAATAACAGAACCTGGCGCTTCGAATACACTTCAGCAACACCAGAAGGACAATGCGGCGTTGGACTACTCATAAGTCCCAAACTCGCCAACCTAATGCAATCATCATAGACCATCTCAAACCGTATTATGGTGGCAGACTTCAAAGGCAACCCAACACTAACCATCATAGTTGCCTACGCACCTACAGAAGATAGAAGTGATGAAGAAAAAGATGCTTTCTACGAAGACCTTAAAAACTGCACCAACATCGTCCCGCCACACAACGTCCTAATTCTTGCCGGCGACCTAAATGCAAGAATAGGTTCAGACAGCCACTAAACTAACCCACGCGCAATCGGAAAATACACGTATCATGACACAACCGACGACAACGGCAATCGACTCGTCAACTATTGCGAAACCTGCAACATGCAGTCCACGCAAACTCGATTCCCACAACCGAAATCAAGATCATGGACCTGGCTACATCCCAATGGCCAGTAAAAAGCGCAGCTCGACCACATTCTCATCAACGGAAAATGGCTGAACTCAATCCTAAATGTACATGCATACAACTCAATCGAAATTAATTCCTCTCACCGCATCGTGAGTGCTACGATACGGATCAGCCTCCGAGCTAACAGAAACAATGAATGCCAACGTCCCAGGTTTAACTGGAACAAACTCAAAGACAATTCTATGTTACAAGCTCAATTCAACATCGAGGTGCAAAATCGCTACGAATTGCTTCTTGTCAAGAAGCCTGAACCCGACATTCAAATGAAATATGACAACTTCGTAAACAGCATAGAAACAACAGCAACAAAACTCATCGTAAAACTAAACCACAAGACTAAAAAGAACTGGGTCTCCACGAACACCATCAATACACTAGATCTAAAAAACAAAGCAAAAATCAAACTTAAACAAAATCCAAACGTCAAAACCAAAAATTCCTGGCAAGCACTTAACCAACAACTCAATAAATCGTATGAAAATGACAAGCTTCAATTTCTTGAAAATAAACTAGAAGAACTGAAACAAGCAGTCAACTCAAATCAGATACGAACAACGTGGGCCCTGATCGATGATATCAGTGGCAAACGTCGATACAGCAGCGCATCGAATATCAAAAGAACAGACGGCACAAAAATTAACTCTACCGATGAACTCATGACAGAATGGAAGACTTACTTCGAAGATTTACTCATCGTAAAAGTGAACATGTCACAAGATACACAAGCAATTCCAGCAGCTCCCAAAGATTTACCAATCAATATTGACCCCATAACAATCGACGAAGTACTTGAAGCAGTCAAACAGCTGAAAAATGGAAAATCTCCTGGATTCGACCACGCAATAACACCTGAAGTACTCAAATATGGCGGACAATGGGTGACAAATCAACTACGCAACATTTGCAACGACATCTTCGAAAACCAAAAGTCACCAAAACAATTCAACACTAACATCATCATACCATTACCGAAAAAAGGTGACAGAACTTTAATGACTAACTGCAGAGGCATCAGCCTCATGTCAGTAGCAGCCAAAACATACAATCGAATTCTATTAAACAGAATACGAGAACCGCTTGACTCGATTCTCAGAGTAAATCAAGGCGGTTTCAGAAGAGGAAGAAGCTGTATTGATCGGATACATGTCATACGTAGGCTTCTCGAAGGCGCAATCGATAAACAACTGCCAATATACATTACATTCGTCGACTTCAAGAAAGCCTTCGATTCAATCAGCAGAAAAATCATGTTCGACATTTGAAGATACTATGGAGTGCCAATGAAAATGGTAAAGGCAATTGAAGCTATATATCACAACTCTCGAAGCGCGGTCCTCGTCGATGGTAACATCTCCGAAGAATTCAACGTAACAACTGGTGTCCTGCAAGGAGACATCTTAGCACCTTTTCTTTTCATAGTTGTTATCGACTACGTCATGAAGAACGCTCAATCAAACCATACAAACGAGAAAGGTGAACACGGCTTTATAACCAACACACGACAGTTCAGCCGTCACCCAGCAACAACTATACGCGACCTCGACTTCGCCGATGATATAGCTCTTGTAGAAAACAGTCTCGACAGAGCGCAAATGCAACTCAACACAACAGCGAAGTGCGCGAATGAAGTAGGCCTTCAAATCAACACCAAAAAGACACAAGTAATAACCAACCGAAACACAAAAACAGATCAATAAAACTAAATGGACAAGACATCGAGTGGGTAGACAATTTCAAGTACCTCGGTTCAATGATGTTATCCAGTGATACTGATATCAAAGTACGAAAAGCTCATGCATGGAAAGCCTTCTGGAAAATGAAGAATATCTGGAACTCATCAACTATTCCAATTCGTCTCAAAGTCAACATCTTTCAAGCCTCATGTCTTTCAATATTACTACAGTCCTGGACAAAAGTAGGTACCCCTTGAAGTGGTGTTATATTCCATCATTTTGAACTGATATTTTGTGTATCGGTTGGTTATTACTTGTGTCTTTTTGGTGTTGATTTGAAGGCCTACTTCATTCGCGCACTTCGCTGTTGTGTTGAGTTGCATTTGCGCTCTGTCGAGACTGTTTTCTACAAGAGCTATATCATCGGCGAAGTCGAGGTCGCGTATAGTNGATTTAGAAATAGCAGATGTCGTAGTGAATCATACTGCGATATTTTTTGGGCTCTGCAGTCAGCTGACTTTTCCAGTCGGCCTTTGGCCGGGTAGAAGTCTAGTTTCTTATGCTTCGATGAAAAATTCATCTTATAAATCTATTTAAAAGCCTCAAATTTAAAAAGAAAATGGCAACAAACCCTGAGAAAAGTTGTCCGAAAAATCTGGTATGTACGATCCGATGCAGTTTTATCTTCTCTTTTAAACAGCGAAAATCACAAATCTCTATCTTGTTCCTATCAAAAGTTATTTCAAAAATACTCATCCTTCTTAATTATTTTGAAATTGATAATAGTTAGCATATTTTCAATTAATAGCACAATTAGCCTTTTATATAATATCCTCTGATGAAATTATTAAAAGTTTCTTTAAAAATATTCTTCTTCTCCGGATAATAATTATATTTGTGTCGATAGCGTACAACAAGAGTTATCGAAGAACAAATACGAAAGAAACTATCAACACTAGTTCTTAAATTACAAAAACAAGTGTCATCTCGTCGAAGTAGTGGGAAAGCTCATGGTCATCCTAAGCATAAATAATTATCTGACCTCTCAGATCATGAACTTGATGAATATTTAGCATCCAATTTGCAGGACTTTAAACATGAACTGCTGAATAATATTGATCATTTTCATCAAGTAATCCTTTCAGCTAAACCAAATTCTGAAAAACAACGAGAAGATGCAGAAGGTCATCAAATTCATATCCAACAATATCAAGAATTTTTACAGCTAGCTAGTGAGATTGTGAATCACATGCAAGAGTCATTTTAATGATACTCTCTTACACGTTATCAAGAATATATTAATCCAGCTTGGGAGGTCATTTGTCAAGATCAAGATGTACGACATGTACAACATCAGTTTGAACAGCAGATGCAACAAAACTTCAATCATTATTGGAGACCTGTTTTGAAATTCATGCTATCTAATATTTAGATCCAATATTCCATACAAATAAAATCCATTTTTTAAGATATTCTAATTTTGACATATAAATCGGATAAAAATAAAAAAGACTATGAATAAGTGACATCTATTGTAATCACTTGGGTAACATATGCATTCATGCAAAAATTTTCTGCAGAATTCTTCCAATAAAATAAATTTAAAATTGATTATGCGAAACGAAAGTCCATTTTATTTATCCTTTTGGAACAATTTATGGTCCAATCTATACTGTTTATTTATTCAGCTTGTTCACTCTATTAATATATTGGTACCTATCTAGCAAACAATATGGATATAAGAATAAATCAACTTATTCTTTTGATAAATTAGAAATTAAATCAAATACCAAATTCAATGAATTGGCATCAATCTTTTTCTCATAATAGTGCTATCGACAAATATATAATATCAAAACATAATGATTTAATCAATACTCAGTTAAATTTAGTACGAATTCAACTTATTTGAAATGCTATATTTGCTGAAACAATAGAAGAAAATATTTTAAATGATTTATTATTTTCAACGTATTTTATTAATGAACAAATAACAACTGTAGAAAAACTTTTTGAACCATCACAGTTATTTTAAAAAATTCTGTTATTGATATAATTAATTATAAAGAAGATAAGGAAATAACTGAAAAAAACCTTTACATGAACTAATTTGCTCACTTAATGATGATCGAATTTTTATTGAACAGACAGCATTAATACTACGTACATAAGCTAAAAATGAAGTTTGTCGTTTATGATTATTTACACTAAAAAAAGATGCAAGTATTAATTCAAATAATATTAATTCTACATGCTAATGATGAAACATGTCAAAAGTATTGCTGATGTATTACTTTGTTTATCTTAACAAAAAAAAACATCTCTCATATATTAGATACAAATGATTATGAAAAACTTTTATGGGCAACCACACATCTTCATATTTTATATTTTAGTTCATTCTGGTATCAAAAAATGCAATTGAAATTTTTGAAAAAAAATTACATTATTGAAAAAGATCAAGTAACAAAATTGTTTACAAATTTTTCGAAATCTATCAGATTTAGCTATTAAATTAGTTTGTTTTAAATTTATTTTTTTTTAATTCTAAATAATTATTTTTTGTTTATAGAAAAATCTTGATTGATTTATTCGTTTAATTGTTAAATTATTACAAATAAATGTTTTTCTAATTATATCTTGTTCGATCAAATAGTGTTTATACATTTATTAATACAATAATTTTTAATTATAATAGAAAAAAACTCTTAGAAATAACCATATATGCATTAACACATATAACATGTCGACGTTCAAGTGCAAGGTGAAGCTCAAGACGTTATTAAAAATATAAATGCTTTTTTTAATAATTCCTGATTTACTTTAATCCAACAATATATTCATGGTCTATGGTAAAATCAAAAATTAATTTAATAAGAGATTTAGATTTATCAAAAGATAGATAATCTTCAGATTTTACATGAAACTAGTGCAATATACAAACACTAAATACAATTATTTGTTCAAAGTCATGCAGCATTAGATAATCAGCAATTTAATGGAAAGTGCATTGATAATTATTAACATATCGATGATATTGTTGTAAGTTGTACTTGTGCATTACGCAGATTGTGTACTTCATCGTCGAAACGTATATTATCAAAAAAAAATAGATCATTGAATTCCTCTAAATGACCTATTTAAGAGGTAGTCGTTTCAACAATAGTCCTTTTCGTTCGCTTTTTAGTTACATATTTCATAGATGGAGTTGTTACTCAATGACGATATATACATCATGAATTGTGAGGTGGTTTTTCTTAGGGAACAACTTAAGTCAATTATTAACTTATTACATCAGTATAATTGCTCAATACAATTAATATAGACACAAGAATATAACGCAAGACGATATTTAAAAAAAAATTTCTATAGAAACAAGATAGAGACCTGAGACTTTCAACAATTGACGGGGAGATGATTTGACTAACTCTTCAATGAAGAAAATCAGTTTCTTTTGACCTGCGTAAGAGAGGTATCTATACTTTGTTTTATTCAACAGTTATAGAGATTATCTAGAGTTCTCGGATTTCACTTATTACACCGTGAATCACCTGGAAGCAGGTGTTAGTAGGGATAATTGAGTAAGCTCAGGCAAATGGCAAGATTTAGTCTCGCTTTGAAAATAAGATCTTAAACAATGCCAGGAAGGTTTTTTGAAATTTTAAGTTTCTCTGTATAGAGATTAGGCATCTAATTTTGTGAAACTTTTGTTTTCGTGATTTTAGATGTCTTTTGAAGCAAAAAATAAGCATTGTCATTTGACTAACCCTACTCAATCACCCCTATCAAGATGTGCATTCAGATGATCCATAATAATAAAACCGCTGAAATCCAGGTCTTAGGATAATTTCGATAACTTTCGAATAGAACGTAATAGAGATGTCAACATGATGGAAATCAAAAGAAAACAACAACTTTCTCTATTGAATGGCCATATTGCAAGTCAACACTTAGTAAAAAAACTACTTTCGGAATCTTCGTTTAAAAACATACCGAGAATTTATCTGTTGACCAATTAACTTTAACATAGTTTTGTAGATAAATCATTTATCTTTTGTTGGTAATAACTGCAGCTATCATCTTAGAATATCGCCGATAGCTTCGGTATCATTGAAATGATAGATTTCTGAATTTTGACGAAGTGCATATCGATCTTTATAAAAGCCAAAGACGAAATAATAGAAATCATTATTTTATATTTCACAATTAAAAAGTTCCGAATGTCATCTTATAGATATAAACATTTCTGTTTAATGATGTCGAATACTTTGAAAAGGAATTGTTTTTTTCAATAAGAGTATTATATATTTTTAAACTGAATTTTTTTCTTTTACATACTGATATACGAAAGTTAAAGCTTTCTTATTATAGTTTGCTGTGAAAAATTTATTTTAATCTTTCAAAACCTTTTCATTTGATAAACAAAATCTAATGATTATAAAATATTCGTTTCTCTTTTCTGAATAGCTTCTCTCTCTATCAAACAATGCATCAATTCAACATGGAGCTACTGGTGTTTTATGGGAACCTGTTATAGATCATTAATATGCTATAATAATTTAACAACAAAATACTACAAAACAAGTAATAGATTTACTTGGATCTAATGATGAAGCTGTTCGTCAGTTAGACTTTTATTTTCTTCAATAGAATTTAAATTAAATATTATTGTTTATTATCATCGTAGCATATACAGTTGCTATTCTAATGTCGTTTATCAAATGATAAACCAAATGATTTTACAAAAAATAATCTGTCAGAAAATGTTACTTTAGCATTCTATCCTAATGAAAATTCCATAAATAATGTAAATTTATTTGTAATGATATTAAAATGAATCTATTTGATTTACTTTTCTACTTTAGTATGATAATTTGAGTGGTCAAATTTATATCGGGCCGTCATAGCTAAGTGGTATCCATCTCATTGTATACGGTTTGTTAGTGTGTATGAAGATCTGAAAAACTTGGAGGCAAAAACTGTGCATCAGGTTGGTGTTCTGTCTAGAGCTACAACTAGTACTGGTTGTAGTGAATATTTCGAACCATTGAATTTGCCACTAGGCAGCATTCCATACTGCAAGAGCACTGACCGGCCGGCAGTACTCTTCGTGAAATTCATATCAAATAATATCCACCACCCATTCATAATATACTTACAATGAATCATTATCTATCAAAAGGTTCAACCAATAGTGTTTTTAGTGCTTCGATGTACACTCAAAATTTCACAAATAGCATCTTGATTTGATAGTGATTTGTAAAAACAAAATAGTTGCAGAAATTACATTGATATAAATTTTTTCACAGATATATATATATATATATATATATATACATTAGGGAAGTAGATATTTGTTTTAATTAATCTGATCATTTATTCATATTGTGTTAATGTGAGATATATTTGCACAAAAAAAAAATTTTAAGTAATAATTCAATTTGGATACTTTTATTGATAACCTTTTGCAGAGTATACATTTATTTGCTATTATTTTAGATAAACTTTCATACTCAACGAACGTCTTAACAAGAAAAAAAAAATTATGGCTCGATCAAAATGTTTCTTGTACGTTAGAATTATTTTTGTGTTACTTTTAATTAAAATATGAATACTATTTAAAATTTAGTGATATTAATGTTGAAGATAAACCATTGGGACGAATTATATTTCAAGTTAGTTAAACAAATATTTCTTTCAATTATTTTCTATTGTTAAAATTTGGTTTTATATTAGCTGTATAATGATATTGTACCTAAAACAGCTGGTATGTAGATATAAAATTAAATTAATCAATGATAGATTTCGATTTGTTTTTCTGTATAGAAAATTTTCGAGCTTTATGTACAGGTGAAAGAGGTTTTGGATATAAAGATTCAACTTTTCATCGAGTAATTCCACAATTTATGTTACAAGGTGGAGATTTTGAACGACAGTATGTAAAAGTTCTTTTTTTCTCGTTATATTAGAAACTAAATAGATATTTTGATATGTATTTAGTAATGGTACTGGTGGACGTAGGTGAGATAGTTATTCAGAGAAAAAAAAATAATTCAATATATTTTTCTTTTATTTATTCATTTGAATAGTATCTATGGAGGTAAATTTGAAGATGAAAAGTAAATATTTATTTTTAAATAAATGGTAAAAAAAAGCAAAGAATGATTTTTAATGTTCAATTTAGTTTTCAAATTAAACATACAAAAGAAGGTTTACTTTCAATGGCTAATGCTGGTAACAATACAAATGGTAAGGAATTTCTTTTTTTTGAAATTTTTGTTAAAATACATATTTATATTTTTAGGTTCGCAATTTTTTATAACAACAGTAGCAACACCATGGCTTGACAGCAAACATGTATGGATATTTTGCAATAAAATATCAATGATTTACTATGATTTCTTTTGGTTTTTATTTTTCGTAGGTTGTCTTTGGTGAAGTTATGGATGGAATGGATATTGTCCGAAAAATTGAAGCTTTAGGTTCACAATCTGGTAAACCACAAAAAAGAATTACAATCGCTAGTTGTGGAGAATTAGATCGTTAAAGACAAGGCGTATATGTTACATTTTTCTTGTTATTTTCGCATATTTTGATTTGCTTCATGTTCAAACTATTGAAATCTAGCTGTTTTAAAGCATTTTATTGCATGAGATAATAAAAAAAAAACAGAATGATTGATTTCAAATCATAACTTTTTTTCTTATCCTTTGTAGAGTTTATGATAGCTTTCGAGAATAAAAAAAAAATTTCTTATGATTTATTTTCGTAATGACTGAACTAATGTCATAACCGAAGTAGAACTGCTATGTGGTATGGCATCTAAACAACCAACAATTTGTATAAAAAAAAGGATATTTTAACTTTTTAGAAAGTAAAAGCAAAACGAATATAAATCATTCGTATTCTTTTTGGATTTTCTCGTAATCTCGACTTGATCGCTGATTTGATTGAGCATCATATGTTTATTTCTTTAAGAGAAAAAATGAACTCTATCATACTAGCAGTAAATGGCAGATTGACTGTTATATCAATTGTAAATTATTGCCTTAGGCATGTATATTACAGCACACATAGAAACAAATATTTGTGAAGCTGAATTCATAACGCCAATATTTTTATTTAAATTCCGCCAGATGATAAAGAGATGAAACGTCTTACTATTCAACTGTTTTTCAGTTCATCTTCGACAAAAAAAAACGAAAAGCTAAGTTTTCTGCATCGATTCATAATGAATATTTATAAATAACGAAATCAATGGAAAATGTTTGTTGTTTGACATGTAGGCTTTCCAAACTGGTGTCATCATCATCATCCATGACAACAGAATTTAAAAATGAGTCGATACTATTCTTAGAAATATCAATATTTCATGTCTACGAATGAATCACCAACTCCATCGAAATTATCTTTGAACAGAACAGGCAAAGATCAAGATTTGAGCTTATTCACAGTCGCATTTAAAATTTCCATCATTAAGGTATTTGGAAAGCAACAGGATCTTTCTTCAGCTAGTATTACCATTGCATTTACCATAGATTTAATCTATTAAGCATAGTAAACAAAGTTTATTCTTTACATGACAAGATTTATTTTTGCAGGTATTGGTACGATTGAAATTTTAGCTGTATTTACTTAATAAATTTTCTTTGAATGACTTATACTCACATCAACTTTCAGCTTTGAAGCTCATACTATCATTGACTTATGAGACTTTTACTATGAAAAAATTGTGTTTTATAGAAAGATATAGTAAGAAAACGAAATCTTCTTAGTATCATAGAAGAAAAAACGAATACTCCATTTTGTAAAGTCTGAAATATTCTATCAAGTGATGTATTTTTCGTATTCTTCTATTTCATGATCATTCGTCCGAAACACTTAATGACAGACACTGGCTCATCTCCGTGTAGAACAACATGATTTTTCAATTGTTGCCATTCGTCGACGAGTGAACAAAAAGAGAAGATATTGAAAACTAAAGTCATTCTGTGGTAAAGAAATTAATAAAACAAAAGCTTATTTTGAGCGACTTCTCTTTTCGATAAAAATGACGAACTTAACCTAAAATTTTGAGTTTCACTCACTTTGTCGAACGGCATTTTGCAAATTTTGTCACTAATAACTTATAAATAACTCATATGCTTTCGCTCAAATTTTTAACTTAGATATATTTTTCAGAGTTCTATAAGCAGCTAAGAGTTTACTTGACTGTCTCTTATCGTTCTCGAAAGATTTACATTATATGATGAAATGTAAGGCCGCAGTTTCAAAAAAATGCAGAGCAACATTTTTTATATGATGTTTCGTCTAAAAGTGAATCCAAGTAAGTTATAGTTTATACAATTCAATTTATTTCACGATCGAAAGTTATCGTATTTTTATTCCGAACATAGATTCTGAATGAAAACGTAATTTTATCACATAGAATTTAAGTGGTTTACAGCAATTATTACAACGGCATTTTTCATATTATATGTCAAGAAATAGTGTGTCGATATGGATTGCATCTTATATCATTGAATTCGTTTCATTTCGATAAGTTCTACTACTTTTATTTTAATTATCGATTATGAATTGAAAAACAGTTTTACATGTAGAATTTTTGCTGAGCTGAAACTGATTTTTTCATTAGAATAACGTTCTTCGCCCTATGCAGTACAATATAAAATATTACTTAGATATTGTTTAAGTCTACTTTTATTTTTTCGCATCAATTGTACAAATGGGTTGCGTTTCACTTATATGTATAAATATGAACGGAGAATGTGAAGATGTGCATCTAGGAGTATATGTGAGTGGATGGATATTAGCTCTCTCGACAGTACCATCCACTTTCATTCGCACACCCCTCTCCTCACATTTTATCGCCACACTATATAAAACTTCTTTAATAAAAATAAAAAATACTTGTTATCGTCGATAAAATAACAACTGTGCAATCAATAAAGATTCAAATAAGTCTTTGTTTTGCAATTTCTTGAGTTTATATGAAAACTCCATATACTTTTCCAGCTGCTACGCAATAATAAAAACAGTTAATCAATTAAAACGAACAATATTAGAAATATTCGGTTTTTTTCTTCGTACTCATAGATTGATAAGATATTAATCTGTACTTCATGACCGTGGATAACGTATACGAGTCATCTCTCATTTCATGGCATAAATTCAGCTGCACACTGTTCCTATTTGTATAGCGACTTTACACAATCGTTCTTTTAATTTCAAGAAACTATTCTACAAGGATAGATAAAGATAGTGACAGAAAATTTTGATAAACATCCAGAAACCACCGACATAACTCAATCATCTACCCTCAATTTACCATTAGGCATCCGTTAATCAGGATATGTCTCTTTGTTATTGCAAAAGCGAATGACAGAGTATCCTCCAAATGTCAACATACGTCCTTCTTATCGACTATCTGAGCAACAAACAAACCAACGATAAAAAGGCAAGTATGCAAAGCTCGTCGAATTCTATTTGGGTCTGCCAATTATAGACATGAGTCCAGTAGAATAACATATTTAGTTGACTCTTCCTTGCAGAACGACTGGTGAGTTCTCTGAAAATTATGAAGCTCCTAGTGAATCCCTAATATATAAAGACTCATCGGTGATTTTCGGAGAAATCTCTAGGAAATCCCTAGTTTTTAAAAAGTAGGTAGACAATTAAAAACTCTCTAAGTAGTTAGTTTTCTCGCAACTTTATTGCATAAAGTGTATAAATATTTTAAATAAATTCTACATTACATCTATTGATAAATGAGAAGTATATCCAAGTAATTGGCTGTAGAAACATAGGACTGTCACCAAGAAAAAATCGTGGATGATTTGAGTTTTAAGTTACGAGGAATTAGAATGAAGATTATATTTTGTTCATTTAGATTAATCGTAACTACAACTCCCACGACAATTATCAATTTAAAAGATTTAGTTTTATTGCTATCAATTTTGCTAACAATTTCGATGGTAAATATTATTTCAAAACATGCATTTCATTAGTTTTATTTCGGTTGGTCCCAAAGACAACTGTAAAAGTCAGTATTATTTAAAAACATCAAGTTGAATTTTTCTTGTTACGAAAGATAGGACGAAAGACAAAGTTTCCGCTCCTCATTGACGAGTGATGCATATGGATACGATGATAAAGATATCGCATATCACTATTTACAACGTTAGTAATTCTCACCATAGATTTCTGAGAAATCTTAAGTAAATTCTCAGTGAGCCCTTTGAAAAACTTCCTGACGATTCTTTCAGCGAGACTTCACTAAGAGTATCATAATAAAAATAATTATATTCTTTACTTGTATAGATATGAAACATGTATTATATGTATAATATTATTGATTTTTTTCTCTCAATGATAACTCATTGAAAATCGAACAAAAGGTAGTACATTTTACAGAGCTCGTCAATCTCAAGTTAAGTTCATTACGAATAGACATGGATTCAGTCAGGAGATAAATCTCGACAAAAAATACAAAAACAACTGAAATGTGGTGTTCCAGGTTAGGATTCGCAGCATTTTGTATTTTTTCCTGATTAATTTGACAAAAATAAAGAAGTAATTAGTGTATCTTATAACTTGAGTTCATCAAATAGAAAGTTGAATCTGTTGGTATGTACAACGAATTGCAACAGGACATACTTGAACTTTGACCTAAGATATCATACGTAAAATAAAATGATTCCACGTTGTTTGTTCATCATTTTTTGGTGCTTACTATAAATATAATGATAATGACTTGAATAATTAGACAGCTTCAAATCATAGACATTCTGAATACAGAATTCCTTGAATTGTTTCAAGAAAGAATGAGAAATAATTTTAGCTCTCAAATCCCTACAATTTCTAGTAAAGATTCAGTAGTCTCGATAATTTTATTAAAAATTGCTTGTTACGGCTATTTCATTAATTAGGTCAATATTTGTTCACAGTACCAATGATGTTCTATACCTATTAATCGACGACTCGTAACTCAACAAAATAAATATAACAATTTTTCTAAACTTTTACTTAAAGAAAAAATATACTATCATGACCTTCTTTTTGTATAACAAAGAGATAATCTTCATGATAAAAAATACAATTTCAAAAATTAGGAGGACGGCACACGACCATTCAAACATTTCTGCTTACGTCACTAAAGTACATTTTCAACAAGAACCATTCAATTAAAACAAAAAAAAAACATTCAACAATAAAAAGAAATCGAGTTTTTTTTTCTAGATGTCAAAAATAAAATCGAAAATCTATTGTAATAATGACAAGATATATTGTCGACTGTGGACTACTGTCAAGTGAGTGTCAAGTAGAACAACTTGCACGCAAGCATGACGAGACCTAACCCTTCAAATAAAAACGATAGATGTCGTCATGATTGAAATATTTCGCAAACTTTTATAAACTCTTCAATATATTCAATGATTTCTTTTATTTAAATGATCATAATTTGAATATTTCTCTAAATATTTTTCAGATAAAATTAGAGAGGACGTTATGCTAATAAGTTATGAAATTAATTATCTTATTGGTTCACAAAAGACAACGTTGGCTACGTATGTTCATCCGTACAGACAAAGAACGACCGCCGTGTCGGTCGTTTCTTGTTCTTCATCTCGTTTCCATTTACTTCTCTTTTTTTTCTTACGGGTTCATCATAAACGCATACTTCGGAATAACTTAGGTAAGAATAATGAATACTTTCTCATTTATGTTTCTCGAGCACATCATAGAAAAGAAGAAAAAGAAATAATAGAATAATGTGCATCTATCATTTTTTTCCATTATTCGTCTATTCTTCTTTTTTAAGTTAATAATCATGAACTATCCAGCAAGTAATCGTGCACCTCCACCACCGATGCATCATCAAACTCCGTCACATCCTTCTCATTCAATGCATCATCCACAACATCCACTTCTTTCAAATCAATTACAACCAATTAATCCTGAAACACATACATCAATGTGGCTCGATGATCCATATGCTGTTTCAAATGCATCAGTATCACAACGTGATTCAGGATTTAATTCTCGAGCTGCTTCATTAAGAAGTATTGAATCAACAGTGACAAATACAACTGGTCCAATACATCATGGATCAACAACAACATCTGGTTATGAACAAATTCCACCCCCACCTCCGTTACCACCGGATCATGAAAATATTCATCCACAATATACTGAAATGCAACCAGCACCTGTACCACAATCACGACCAGATCCAAGTCAAGTTATACCTGAATTACTTAATTTATTAATGGAAGATGATTCCGTTATTGTACGTGAAGCTGTTCAACTTACACAAATGTTAGTCAAAGAAGGTGGTGAAGGCCGAGTAGAAGTTATACGAAATCGTGATGTAAGTTTTTATTTTTAATCATTATTTCTAATTATATTTAATCATTTTGTATAGTTAATTCATGCTTTATTGGAAAGTTTTTCGAAAGATGTTGGTGATGGTAAAATAACATTTCCTCTTGTGAATCTATTTCACTCACTTTCACAACAACAAGAAGGCCTTCGTGTGATACTTGAATGTGGCGGAATTCCAAGATTAATTCAAATTCTTGAGTAAGTTAAATCTTTGTTTTTGTTTTAAATTTTTTATTATTGAATTTTAGTTCACCTGACAGTACAGTTAATTTTGTTGTAACCACATTACATAATTTTTTAATCGTTCTACAAGAACAATCAGCCAATGAAATTGATCGTTGTAATGGTACACAACATTTTATAAATTTACTTAATAGTGCAAATGATAAATTATTAACATTAGTTTCGGATTGTTTACTTAAAATGTCAAGTTATAATTTAAATTCAAAATTATTTATACAAAGTAGTGAAGAATGTGTTCAACGTCTTTTATGTATATTTGATACAACAAAATATGATAAATTATTATTAACAATATCAAAATTATTTCCAATAATATCATCAGGAAATGAAATAATTAAAAGAGTTTTTTTACAATTAAATGCCTTAAGTATATTTGAAAAACAAATACGTTTAACAAAAAGTATTCGTATTAGACATAATTGTCTTATTGCATTAAGAAATATATCTGATCAAGCAACACGAATGGTAAAAAGCAAAAAACTTTTAATTGTAATCTTGCATTTCTTTTTTTAATTCTAGCGTGATGTAGATTCGTTAATTCAACAATTAGCAGGAATATTATTAACTGATGATCATCAATCAGTCTTATGTTCATTGGGAATTTTAAGTAATTTAACAGCTGATAATAGAATAAATAAGAGTTTATTAGTGAAATTAAATGGTGTCCAAACATTAATGCAAAAATTAATGATGAACGTCGATGGAAACGATGATTTAATTGAAGTAGCTGTAAGTTAATGACATTTATATTTGCATTATCAATTTAGAATCTATGACTTGCTCTCATAAGTTTCAATTTTTACTTGAAGTGAAACTTTATTCTAACAAGAATCATGCTATACATATTTTTTATTCAACATTCCGATTAAACATAACTTGTATCTAAAATTTGGTTTTATGTTCAAACAGTCTACAATGTATACATGATTGTTCAAATAGTTCTTTGAGTTGTGTAGGCTGTCATAGAAGCATTTTAATGTTTGAACAACGTCGACTTACGTTTCGAATTCCTTTAGTCCATCAGTTTTTGAAAACTTCATTTCATTATGTAGAGTGGCTATAACGACGCCTGAAATGCTCTCCATCGATTTCTATTTCTTTGTATTAATTACCTTTGAATGATTACAGTCAGAATGAAACTCGGAGATTGAACTGTCGTGCTTATGTTATAGAGTTCGTGCGTGTTCGCTATTCAAATTTGAGTCAATATAGGAAGTTGTAGAGTTCGCTAGTGTTCTCTATATAAATTCAGTTTATCTTAAAAAACTCCGAGAAAAAAGAGAAATGATCTTCAAAGTTATGCGTCTTGAATATTATTTTCTTGCTGATGTTTAATAAGTTTCGAAGTTTACGTGGTTCCTAAATGGTATCTACAGTATATGTAAATTTCAGCTTACATATTCTTTGTGGTTGAATAATAGCTGTCTTTCGGAATTTACTATTTCAAAACTTGAAGATGGTTCTTTGCTTGTTCATCAAAATACTTTCGAAAGTCATTTTCTGGTGTCGACGCAAAATAAATCATTAGCAGATACTTTATAATCACAAATATTCAGTCTAGTATGGAAGTCAGATACTTGAAAACCAGTTTAGTCTGTGACACATCCATTTAGTTCGATTGCAGATTAAATATATCTTCCGTCTGTTGCATTTGTCAATAATCGTACTTAAAAAATGTGATACTTGGCGAGACTAGACGTATATAAAGATTTAAACCTAATCTTCTAAATGGTTGTTTTGCGGCTATTGGTAAACACAATAGACTTCCTACTGTAAGTCATATGTTGCATAAATTTAAATTGATCCTTGAAGTAATATCATTCAGATAGATTCTAAACTCCATTGAATAACCGAGATTGATTATAAAATTTTCCGAGAGACATAACTCGAGAGAGAAAGACGTTGGACTTTGTAGACCCATAATTCTAATATACATGCAAAGGAAAGAATGTTCTTATCGTTAAGAAGTTCAATAGCATTGATGGCTTCAGAAAATTTAAGAAAGAATTGCTTTTGAAATGAAATCAAAGGAAAATAGATAATTTTAACCGAGACGTGTAACAATTGAGTTTGCAGATGCTTACTTTGTTTTTGTTTGTTTGTAGTTATGCACACTTCGACATGTAACAGCTCGTCATGATTTAGAAAATGAAGCTCGAGAATCAGTTAGAAAATCTTATGGAATAGGTAATATTGTGAAATTATTACGAGATAAAAATTTTAAAGAACATTGGGGAATAATAAAAGCAACTGTTGGTTTAATAAAAAATTTATCTTTATCACCAACAATAATTGCACAATTATGTGAACAAAATGCTGTTCGACGATTAATTGAATTATTAATTAATGTTGATCGTGAACGAACAAAAATTTTTGATGAAAATAAACAATATTTACATCAATTTGATGTTATGATTGAAATTATTCTTGGAGCATTAAATAATTTAGCTAAAGATGTATCATGCAAATCGATTATTAAAGAAATGAATTGTATATCAATTATTATTCGTGTAAGAAATTTTTTTTTTTTACTTCAAATAGTTTGTTAGATTTTTATTGTTTTCTTTTAGTATTCAAACACACCGTCTTGTTCATTACAACAAATAGCAAGTATTTTATTAAAAGAATTAAATATTGATCGAGATCGTAATCAATTAAATGATTCGTCATCTTATCAACAATTTAATAATAATAATCATATGATCGATTCTCGTCATATTCGTCAGCAGTGACTTTGAAGTTTTTTTTTTTTTGTTGTTTCTTTAAATATGAATATGAATCTTTTTTCTCCTAGTCATCTATAATTCCTTATTTTGTTTTTGAGTATATATTCTCTGAATGTTGTCTCAATTACTTTTTTTTCCTATCAATCGGCTTATTGTCAGATGTTGTTTTGTGTATGTATTTTCTCTTTATGTGTGCTTCCTTTGATATATATATAAATGTTTATACATATTGTGCAATCGACTTTGTGTTAGTATTTGTGTTGTAATTTTTCTTATTTAATTAATTCACGTTTTCACTATATTGATGATGTCATATAATGTTCTAGATCTAAATCTTCAAAGTCAACTCATCTGAATAATGTCTGGTCCAAACGTTTATTTCGATGTTTCAATCGACAATAATCCAGCTGGTCGCATTACATTCAAAGTAAAATTGAATTATTTTTCTTGATGAAAGATATAAAAAAGCAACTTCATGATATTTATGTTTTTCCTTTCATAGCTCTATGATGATGTTGTACCAAAGACAGCAGGTATTTTCTAAATGAAATATTTTTGTAAATTGTTATAAATCTTTTTCTTTTTTTATTTATTTTAAGCAAATTTCCGAGCATTATGCACGGGCGAAAAAGGTTTCGGTTATCAAGGAAGTACATTTCATCGTATAATTCCTCAATTTATGCTCCAAGGTAAAGATTTTCATTAGTATTTTTTTTTATTATGAATTGATTAATTTTATAGGTGGTGATTTCACCCGACAGTAAGTTGATAAAAAAAAATTGTATTTTATAAATATCATATGTTTTTCTTTTCATTCGAATAGCAATGGTACTGGTGGTAAAAGGTATATTAATTTTTTTATTTTGAATTTAATATAATAAATTAACTTTTTTTCTTTTTCATATAGTATCTATGGTGAAAAATTTGCTGATGAAAACTTCAAACTCAAACATACAAAACCTGGTCTTTTATCAATGGCTAATGCTGGTCCAAACACTAACGGATCTCAATTTTTTGTTACTACTGTTGTAACATCATGGCTTGATGGCAAACATGTATTTATATCTTAAATAATTACTATTACATTTAATTATTTTGTGTGTTTTTTCATAGGTTGTCTTTGGTGAAGTTATTGATGGTATGGACCTTGTTAAAAAGATCGAAGGTTATGGTATGTTATATTAATATATTTTATTCTTAAAAAAGTCTAATCTATTTTCTTTTAATTTAGGATCGCAATCAGGTACTCCAAAGGCCAAGGTTGTTGTTTCAAAATGTGGCACGTTATAATAAGCGCATAAAAATAAAAGCACAAAAAAAAAAACTTTAATCTCTCCTCGTACTCTTGTTTGCTTTGTGTTGTTTCTCTGTGCTTGTATCTTCTATTCATTTCATTCTATCCTATTGTTAGATGCGTTTATTTCTCATGTAGTTGCTCATGTTAAACAAGAAACAAAAAGCCCAAGCTCAATGTCCTTTCTAGGTCTCATTATCATCATCGAGCTTGTGTTTCTAATACTTTCGATCTGAATAAAAAAAAAAAAAAAGGAAGCATTCATCTGATGAATTTTTATCGATTTTTATTTCTGCCGTTAAAATAATCATAAAATGGATTGCATAACAAGATATATAATATGTGAAAGAGGTACTCAAAATATTTTTTTCGCTAGCTCTTTACACAACTAGTCGACAGTTGGTTTTAGTGGCGTTTTTTTTATATCGCCTTATATGAAGCTATATATGGCTTGCTTTCACACCATCTAGTTGATTGTTTGAGTTTTGAAGGCATAAAGAAGTAATATGATCTCATATTTAGCAAATCTGCTAGATTTTGATGCGAATTTATATGATATTCTGCCAAGTATCCATGGGCATTCTAGGCTTCCCACAGCCTCTGCAATTTCATAGTGAAGACTCAGATCTTAAAAGGCGTCAAAACAATTCGTCACGGGTATGGGGATGTCAGCATAAGTACAGATCTTTTGTGTACACTCGCAAACACTCTAGCTAACACACCTACCTGCCATCACAATAGCTCAAAGAAATATCTTCCGAACCCTTCTCATGTTCATTGTACAAAAAATAAACTTTTTACTAATTATTGCAAGTCAACCAATGATCTAATATCTCAATCAAAGAAATAAATTGCTGAGAAATATATTCAATTTAACAGAAAAAAATATCGTAATTAATTTATTATCCATAAATCGTGTGCATCTCTTTGCCGATTGATATCGTTTACATATTGACGATATCTTTGCAGGTTGTTTACTCAACCAATACATTATGGATGTATACTTTATTATGATAACGTCACAGAATATTATTCCCATCTTAACTGGATTCTAAACTAGCCTACCACAATTTTACGTAAGTTTATAATAACATGTTGAAAATAAATGCAATGAGAATAAATTATTCTGGATAAAGGTATCTTTTGAAATAAAGAAAAGAATGCAAAACATATACGATTTAATAGTGTTTATGCTATAGTATTTTCATCATTTGTAACATAAGATAACTCAAAATAGATCTGATTGATACTAAGAATGATAAGAAACAATAGAATGTTTGCTGTTTTATTGTGACTTTTATTCAGAAATATTAGAGAAAAGATTATAGTATATCTTGATTCACTCAGAAAAAATTGATATTGATTATTTTTTAAAGTTATACCATGATCGATTCACGGCTTTTATGTCAATCAAATGACAATGGTAACAAATTAATGCATTATTATCCATCATTGTTGACATTTTGTATATAAAATTTTGTCCGCAGAAAATCAACAACTAAACTATTTGAAACATTTACAAACGTATTCAAGCTATTCAAATTTCGATGAAATCTTTGGAATATCCTAGACCTTTGGAAAAGAAGCCCAAAACCTTTCACTTATAACTTCCACCTACTATTTTCTTCGAAAATATATGTGAGTTTCACAAAAGTTCGTGCTCATGCCTTGTTTCTAAGGTGACCGAACGTGTTTTTAGTAAATTTTGGCTGCAGAACTCCACATTTTCAGCAAGACAATGTTTTAAAATTTCGATCTGAAACTTTGTTTATGTAACGATATCAATTGGATTAGCTTGTATGAAAAATATATTACGTATTCTTGGAGTAAATTTCTCCGAGTTACGGAACTTATAATAGATTTCTCCTAGATAGAAACATACAGCTTGTATTTTTTGAAAGCTTCATTGATCAGATAGACTTACGAGGGAAAGGTTTCAACTGATCAATCGATTTTTCATCCAAAACTAGACAATTACGGATTATCGACCATGCTAATTCCAGATATGACTGTGAGAAATTCTCTTAGATCTTTATAAACTAGTTATCCTGACTGCCAAACTTTTCGATCTTTCTAGACTCTAAAGCATATCGAGTCGCTTTATAAAACAGTAATTTTTTCTGTTTCAAAGTGCTTTTCTTTGCAGAAAATACAGTCAGTTTAATTCATGTATCACATGCATATCAATATTTCACTGTAACCATCTTCAAGAGGATATTACGTGTGTCACTTAAGATTCATATTCAGAAACAGAAAAGATTATTGTCTTATAGAAAACTCGATATGCTCTATAATCCGACTAGATCATAAACGTTTTTTCGCAAAATTTTTGTTGGTCTAGAAAATCATAATAAAGTAGTTTTTGGTGGGTGAGTGATTGATCTGTTGAAAACGTTACCTCGTTACTCGAAAAATTGAGAATATTCTTTTCATGCAAGCTAGTCTCATTGATATTTTTATGTTGACAAGGTTTCAATTTGAAGTTAGAAAGCCATCATCTTGTTGCAAATCTGGAGTCCTGCAGCCAACATTTACTGAAAACGTTCGATCAATTCAGAAACAGCCCATAAACACGAACTTTTTGGTAAACATAGTTTATTAAAATCTTCAAGATACACTAAGTGCGTGCTAAAGACGAGCATACACCTAAGAATATTCCATCGTTAGTTTAAACTGAGAAAATGTTGCAACACAAAATTAGTATCGTTTAGACCGCTGGATCTGATAAACAAAATGTGAATGTGGCAACAATTATGGCAATAGTGACAGTAATCATCAATTTCACTGGAGCTACTATGACGATAGGATTTGTGAGGCAATAAATTATATAATGAACACTAATAGTTCTCTTGAAGAAAGTGTTATAAACTTTTGATATAGTTCTTTTCTTAATTAGATATTTATATGAATGAAATTAATTTTTTTTGTCTATTTGAAATAATTTGAATAATATTTGTTTATTCTTAGTAATAATTATTATATAGCTGAATTGATTTCTGGAAATATCATATTCTTTTTCTCGCTAGAGTAGTAAATATTGTCTGAAAGTCTTAAGAATATGACTATTTTTGTATAATAGGATAATAAAAAACAAAAAATAATAAAAACATATAGTCAGAGTTATCTACTATGATTCATACAATGATATATACAGACAGATTTTCTTGTTCTTCAAAGAGGAATGTACAGGATAGACCATAAATAGCACTAAAATGAAAAATTAAAATAATTCCGCTTCGTTTCACTCGAATATGCGAACTTTTAATTAGTGGTAGTTTCATACGGATAACGTAAACAAATACTATTGCCAAATTATATTTTTAGCTTCACTAAAAAGAATTTCACTCATTGTCAAGTAAGAAAAATACATATGAAGTGTGTCATAAATAATTTTCAGTTGTCGTCTAAGGAAAAATAATAATTAGAAATCAAAATGAACTTCATGAATGATACTATATTGATGTATACAACACAAGTTTTTTGAAATTATTTAGTTTAAATATTGAAGTAATTACTCATTTGAATGCAATATTCATATTTTTTTAAATATTATGTCTGACTTTATTTCGATGTCAATATTGAAACATCTTTAAAATTCTATTGCATACTTCTATCTTTTAGTGCATTTCGAAAGAATACAATTGAAAGAAACTGTTTATGATGAAGATAATTAATATCTGTCGATATGTCTGAAATATTTTATGATAATTCA